AGCTGCGGCCGGGGAAGGGCCGAAGCACGGTGAGGGGCGAGGGAGCTCTGCCCCGTGCCGCGAACGGGGGCCTGGGCAGGGGCGGGGACGCGGCCCCTCACCACCCGGGCGCGTTCCCACGAGCGCCGAACTCGGGTTAGCCGCGCGCGAGGGGTGCCCCCCCCACTGGCGGGCCAGCTTTTCGCGGCTCGAGCAAGAGCCCGGCCTAGCACGGCGGGGGGGCTCGATGTCCAGCTGGGGGGCTCATGGGGGTGTATAACATGCATTCTCCCCCATTAATCCCCCAGCAGGAGCCCCCAGTAAGGGGGTGGGGTGCTGCGGGCACCCGTGCAGACAATGCATGCTGGCCTGGGGGTTTTGGGGTGCGGGATCGTGGCTTATCTTGGGGGTCCTGGGCTACCCTTGCTTTCCTTTTCCTTTCTCCTCCCCCCTTTTCCCCAAGGGGGGTGTAGAGAGTGACTGTGTGTGGGAAGCAGCAAGTTTCCATTGTCTTTAGCGCCCGTAGGAGCTGGGGGGTTAATGGGGGACAGGATGACGGCCAGGGAGGTCTCATTATTTTGTGTGTGGAGGGGGCTGGCGGGGCATTAGGAGAGAGCAAAAGTGGGGGGGGGGTCTAGGCCAGGATCAACTGCTTGGGTGATGCTTGGAAAGGATAATAGGAACTATGTCAATTTCACTGTTTGTAAGTCAGTTTCACTGTTTGTGTGAGCTGTGGGCTGCTTTTCTCTCCTCTCTGGAACCAGGAAAGGCTTAAAGCTGGAAAAAACAAAAATGCAAATGCAGAATAAGCATCCTTTAAAAGGCATAATTGAAATAACCCACCAAGCAATAAAAGCAATAAAAAAGCTCAGTGGGAACCATCTAGAAATTGATTCGTTATTAAGGCAACAGGAAAGGAGAGGAGGAAAGGGATAGGCCAGGGTGGGGTTGGGTTGGTATGATTTGGGTATTGGGGGTGTGATTGTCGAGATTTGGGGTCTTTAGGCAGTTGAGGGTAATGGTTAGGACAATGGACAAGCTTGGATCCAAGATTTTACGAAGTGTATTTGGAAGGATTTCCTTCAGTCAGGAAAAGGTAATAATAAAAAGTGATACTGTTTTAATCATGATGCATGTTCTCTTTGATTTGTATCTGTGTGTACTGCAAAAATGTTGAGGGCTGGAATTGTGGCACCAGTTGTGGAAAGGAGATGTGAGGAGTCAGGAGTTGGATAAAGGAGGCCCCAATATGAGAGGGGGCTAAACCCATGTGAGTGGAGATCACAACAAATAATGTGTGTTGGGGGGAGGTTGAAAATGAAATAGGCAGGTCTATTGTAAGGTCTCTTAAGGAAATGGAGCACACACACACACACACCCCCAGTGGAAAAGGGCTGAGAGAGCTGAAAGAAGTGGTCACAATAAGCATTAGTGTCCATAATTCGGGCGGGGAGGGGAAGCAGGGAGTGAAGACAACAGCCAAAAGAAGCTGCTCTCAAAGGGGGAGGATAGTGAGATTGCAAAAAGGAACGGGTGATGGATGAGGAGGAAGGTCTTGAGGAGATCTCCTTTGTTGTCTTTGTTGGAGAGCAAGCCTTCTGGCAGGAAAGGTGATCTGACACCCCTTTCACTCGACCCCCAAACATGCCGGCAGAAAAGGTAAGAGGTTTTACCACTTTTGCTTACTATTATCTTGCTTAAGGCGCCTGGAGCATCTGCTCAGTTCAGCCAGCCGCTGATCCCTCTTAGGGGTAGGATGAAGGAAAGAGCAGGGTGTTGTGCTAGTGGGAAGGCCTCCTGCCTTCCCTTGCTCTACTGTTTCTACTGCCCTTCTTTTGTTGTTGGGGAAATCAGTTGATAGCAGATGTTCCCCCTCCAGTCAAGAGTTTGGGACCTGTGCGTGTTATTAGAAATTACTTAACACATTAGAGCCAACATCTGCTGCAGAACCACAGTGACGAGCAAGGATGGACGTAACTACCCTTACTTAGTTGGCATGCTGGTTACCTTGTTTCTGTTAAGTTTTGAGTGTATACAGAATGTAAAACGTGGAGTATTTGGGTGGGTGGGTTTCAAACTGAGCTTTGTTTTAACCCATTCCTGAACCTTGACAATAAAAAACAAGTCTGCCCCCAGAGCTTCTGGGATGATAGAATCTGTGCTGGATAATCAGCTCGTCTTCCGAACTGTCATTTCAAAATGTTAGGCTGTGTTTCTTTTTTTCTGTTGTCCTTGCAGATGGTGGATGTTGATATCGGTGCTGGTGGGGATAACACCAGAAGAAAAATGGATGCTCTAACAGATAGTGCAGCTGAGATTGTTCCACTGGAACTCTATGATTCAGCTCGAGCCAAAATAGCTGCTAATCTGCAGTGGATCTGTGCTAAAGCTTATGGAATAGGTAAAAAAAAAAAAAAAACTCATTTTCCATTCTCCCCCCTGGCTTCCCCCCCCCCCCCCCCCCTTCTCATTAAATGGGTTTGGAATGATGCTTTTTTAAAATAGCCAACATGTCGAACTGTTTCTGCTCCATGCTTTGCCTGTGTCTTTAGAGACAGGCCTCTCGTTCTCGCTGTACACCCCCTTTCCTCGTCATGAATGGCCTGTAGAACACCCTGCCATGCGTTTTTGTTTCGCCAAGCAGCGCTCTCCCACACAGCACATAAAGGCCTGCAAGAACCCGGCATTTGTAGGACTTAACTCTGCAAGTCATTTTGGCAGATGCTGTTGCTAGTTCGTGGTGGTTCATAATGGATTCGATATTCTTAAAAAAAAAAAAACTTGTGGTATGCGGAAGGTTCAGTCATCCACCTTTCTTTTAAAAACCTGCAGCATTTGAATTCTAAAATGAAATGGTGAGGGCCATCCATCCCTTTTGTGTAGTATTCTGAGCGATGTGTATAAAAATAAAGGGAAGCTATTGACGGAAACTACCTTGCCTGGAAACTCCTGTGCTAGCCTGAAAGTGCAAATTGGGACCTTTCCAATTTCTTTCTTTTTTTTTCTTCCTTAGAGCACTCTTGCCAGCCTAGGTTATGCATTGCAGTAAATTCTTTTTGGCTGTTTTGATCTCTTGCTTTCTATCTTTTGAGCAAAGATTTCTGGCTATCTATTAGTGTTTTATGACTACTTATAAAATTGAAATAAATATGAAATATGTATTCAGTGTTAAAGAAATATCGATCTTTTAATCTAACTCTAATTTGCCAAATGCTCTAAAATGCTTAACAAATTAACGTTACCTTGCTTTGTAGTAGTGCTAAATGGCATACATTTTTACTGGCAGATGGCATTTATTTGTTTTCGGCTAGTGCGTTACCTTTTTGTTCTATAACTGTAAGAAACGTGCATGTGTTAGATTAAGATTGGGAGTGTTAACGAAAAGTTTCCTGCAGTGATGAAAGTACACTGCGGCCCCAGTAAACTGGAGTTTTAAAAAACAAGTTCATCATCGTATAGTCTGCAGCTGCAGTTTAGAAGATGGAAGCTTGTACTCCTCCATAATCATGGTTTGTCTGTTGGAATATTTTGTATCTGATTTTAAGAACAGTATCGTATAGTTTGGAGCCACTGATTGGCCCGCCCTGTGAAGGGAAAAGTTGTGTTTATGTTTATAACCTCCATGGGAACTAGGTTTGAATGATAGCACATGAAGGGTTATAGACATATCTGCTGGGGTTCGAGATCAGTGTTAGAAGCATCTGATTTTTATGAGAGTCATTTTGTCCCACAATTAAAGCCAATGTCCTTATTTAACATTCTTCCATTGCTGTGAAAAATGCAATGAGCAATCTTACTAGAATCCTGAAATACGTCTGGCTTTCTAATCCAATGAAAACTTGATTTTACAGACCCCTGTTGAGTGGATTTCAGATGCATCAGACAGAATTTTATTCCAGATTTCTCCCTAAATAATGGGCCAAGTTTCCTATGCCTTCCAGATAATTGGCATAATTTCTGTCAATTTACATAATTTACATAATAATGTAATTGACATACTTGACTTCATTTCTGTCAGTTTGCATCTTGTCAATTACCAAATTTCAGATTTGATGTTTGGCTTTAAGGCTTATGTCTCCTCTCCCCCTGCCCCTGTGTTAAATCAAGGCTTTGCTTATTTGGACAAAATGGGCAGCAGCAGAAAGCTGCGTTTTAAATTATTTACTTTACAAGTGGATTTGGTAACAGGTGAGAGGAATAAAAGAGAAATCTGTAAATGTTGTCCAGTGTTAAAGGTCTTGGTAAATGCATATATCTGCCTGAAACTTTAACGTATTGTGAACTTTAAATGAAGCCTTGCTTTATATTGTTTCAGTATTTGATGCAGATTGATATTTGGTGTGGGATCTCCCCTGATGAACCCTAGAAAAGACTCCTTACATTGGAAGGAAAGACAGCATTATGGAGGGCCTGTTCCGTCATCGCCTTTAGTATAGCTGTATCATTATTATTGTTGTTTACTTACATGGTTTATGGCAAAATGTTAAGGGTTTTTCCACCCATTTTCTTAGTAGTTGAAAGTTCTTAGAAAGACTGGGGGATAAAGTACTTGGTAATTGGCTCCTTCCTTAATTCTTTAACTCATATCATCTAAGACGGAGTTCTGTAAAGGTGGGGAGACAGATTAATCTTTCCCCCCCCCATATACAGTATAAAATTATGCCCCTGTATCCCTCAAATTCCAGTCCTCTAAAAAGCTTTGCAAGGTTTCAGACTCATTCCATTTAGGAAGAATCCTGCTCCAATTAGATTTCTGTACAATCTCAGCCTAATGCAAGATTCTTCCAAGTGTGAAGCAAGCACCTACTTTTTAATGTTTGGATGGCGCTACTGAAAGTAATTACTTTTGAGATGCATGTCAAATTGTCCTTAATTTTGTGATGACATATAACTCTGTCTTGTGCTCGCATGTGGTGTTTCCAGAGAGCCTCTAGGACAAAGGAGCAGGTATCTAGAAGCTGTTTTCAGATGAAAAAGGGTGAACAAGCTGAAACATAATCCTGAAAAGGCAGAAATGCAGCTGATGGGAAAGCTGGCAAATCTGGATAAAGGTGTTGAACTAGTTTAGAGTTTGGTGGCCCTCCTGGGCTTGGAGCTACATCTCTTGCTGTGATGTCCAGGAATGCCTTTCACAGAATGAAGCTGGAGTGCCGGTTGCAGTCCTATCTCAGTGTAGATAACTCATGCACAGATTATAGATTGCATCCAAGCTAGACTACTGCAGTTTGGATTATACCTGGTTGCCTCTGAAGTTTTCATTTGATGAAGCCAGCATGGCAAAGTGGTTAAAATGCTGGATGAGGACTGGGAGACCCTCAAAATGACTTTGGGTCGGTCATTCTTTTTAATCCCAGCCTACCTAACAGGTTGTTGAGGGGAAGAATTGGAAGAGGGAGAGCTGCAATGTCCTGCAATTCCTGGAGAAAGGTGGAATCAAAATCTAACAAAAATGAAATAAAATAATGAAGCAGCTTAGACCAAGCTTCTCATGAACTGGCTGTTTTTCACTTCCATGTTCAATCTGAAGCCTAGGCTTTTAAATGATAAACAAGTTACTTGAAAATTGGCTCTGTTGATCTGCCTAAGTTTTATAATTTGCTCTGCAGGCCTTTTCCCTATTTTCTGATGCTACATATTACATGGCTACTGAGGATGTTCAGTTTTCTTTGGATTTTCTTTGGGAGCGGGCTTAGAGTTCTCCTTGTTTGCTAGTCACTAACATCAGTTCCCATTCTCTGCCAGGCTACTGCTACTACTATTATTTAAATTTATGTGCTGCCCAACTCCCAGCAACTGGTCCATCATCTGTCATTTGAAAATAACAAATCAAAATAGACTAATGTATAGTCTTTCTATCCATTGATAGATATTTACTCTACAGTTACATTTTTAATATTGGATTGTCTATAGCTCGTATTACAAAATTATAAAAACAGAAGCTATTTGACCTCTGGACTATTTATAAAAATGATGTATAACAAGTGACTTGGTATGGTTACTTTCTGTTAGTGGTGTTTCATCCTGTGACTCTGAAATTCATTTCCTCCTGTCTTCTCCTCGGTGAAAGTTTGATGACCTTTTTATTTGACTAGTAGATTAGTACAGGTCTGGTTATTTTACCTACTGTCCTTGAGATTGGTAGTTTTCAGGTTAGTGTTTGTATTAATGATGGATATATGCAGATTCTGTTCTGCATATAGGAGGATTTATTGTTCCTTCCAATAAATGTGGTGCTCGTGTTTGGTTTGGTTTAGTTCCTCATTTGGTGTTAGTGGTTGGTTACTGTGTTGTATTTTATGGTCTTTACATGAATCTGCCACGTTACGTTGTCAAAAATCCCAAGACATTTGCTCTCAGCGCCTTAACTTTATAATAATAATAATTTGGGTTTCTCTCTCCCCACGTTGCTTTAATGATGTATCTGCCTGATGTCAGACAGTCTGGGCAGTTAACAATAAAACTTACAATATTTCACTGTTTACAGTCTCATGAAATTATACTTTACACCTGTTTTATTAATCTAACAGCGAGGTAAGCCGAAAATAATATACGAACAGTTTTTCCTTGCAGTCTTCATTTTAGATCTGTATTCTGTTTTGGGCACCTCGGTATCCCAACAAAAATAAGTGGGAATAGATATTCTTCTGATCGCACACAACAGTTTAAATGTTGTTCATAAAACAACTAGATAAATTTTAAAAACACTTTTCGCATCTGTTGATAGAGTTAAATGATTGGAGAACGAGGTTTCAGGTGCCTGACTGTGACTGAAATTCATAAACAGCTGCTGTTTGCTTGAGATTTAAGAATCATATGGATATTTTATTGCTTAGTCAGTGTAGCCTAGATTGCACAGTAAAGTGCCATGAGATGAAACCCAGACTTGTATTGCTGTGGCTTAGCTGTGATTAATAGCGCTAATATTTGCTAGTTTAAAGGTGAGAAGTGTAAGCACATTGCCCTTACCTTTTCTAGCTTCCTCTCAGTATCTCAGATACACAGGGTCCTCATGCAAATATATTTGAACATTTATAGACCTGCATTTGTACTTGATTGTGGTGTGCTATGTTAGGGACTAGATTGATAGAAATATTGTGGTTGATTAGCAGAGCATTATTTACTGCACGTATTCAAGAATGACACTTCCACCCCTCTGAGAAGTTACTTTCCTCTCATCAATTTTTAAAATAAGGAATTTTTTCCCCCTTAATCTTTGATTAAGCTGCTGGTCAACCCTTGGCTTTGTTGTGTCAATACCAGTTCTCTTGTTTGAACTCACTTGTCTTTTTATTTCAGATAACATCCCAGAGGAATTGAAAGATCCCTTTTATATAGACCAGTACGAGCAGGAGCATATTAAACCGCCTGTCATCAAGCTGTTGTTATCCAGTGAGCTATATTATCGTGTCTGCAGTCTTATTCTGAAAGGGGATCAGGTGGCGGCTCTGCAGGGACACCACTCAGTCATCCAGGCTCTGTCTCGGAAAGGGATTTACGTCATGGAGAGCGATGACACGCCTGTGTCCGAATCCGATCTCAGCTCTGCGCCAATCAAAATGGTTAGTTTAAGAAAAAAGAGAGTTGAGGTCTACTGTTCTGCGCTTCGGTTTTCTTTGTTTTCTGCTTCCCCTTGTAGATCCCTGAAGTGTGGCCAGTCCTGAACTGGCCAACCCCCTTTCTCGGTCTTCTTGAGAGGTGATTGAACCCAGCATGTTTTTTGTCCTGTAGAGTCCTCACATGGCGATGATTGATGCTCTGATGATGGCGTACACTGTAGAAATGATCAGCATTGAAAAAGTAGTTGCAAGCGTCAAATGTTTTTCTACGTTCAGTGCCTCAAAGGAGTTGCCCTATGATCTGGAGGATGCAATGATATTCTGGATTAATAAGGTAAATCATGGGCTAGTTTTATTAAGTTTTATATGGAAGTCTCTGTTTATCTGTAAATACCAGCATGGGATCTGCAAGCAGGGTACAATTTGTGTTTCTAATATTATTGGGGGGGGGGAAGTGTTTCTCTACAGTAGCTAGGCAGTAGCTTCACCTAATATTGTAACAAAAGTCTCCTTGCTTCTAAGCAACACGTAAGAAACCTTGGAATAAAGAAAATTAGCTAGCGCAGGAGATCTACGAGCTCCAAAAACTGAAGAGTTAATCTGTGTGTACTCTGTGTAAAATCTTTTTCTCATGCTTAATTCTGATGCTTGCATTTCTGAAAATAAGTCTGTAATCAGAGATACTGGCCTTAATTTTGAGAATGCATTGGAAATCGTGGTTGGGAAATGAAACAGTGGAAATCCATATACTTAGGTCTGAGAGTAATTTTGTTTTCATGGCTTTGGGAATGTATTGTGATTCCTTAAATTGACCATAAGAGACTCAAGATAACGTTCAAGGTAAAGGGAATTAATACTGTGGAGTGTTGGTGTATATGCACACAATTTGAGACCATTTAGTTGTTTGATATATATATTTTTTTGGCAAGTTTATGCCAGATTTTGAACAATATGACAAGGGAGTACGTTGAATAGGATGATGAGATAACGGTTAAAAATTCTTGTAAACGTTTTCTAGCAAAATAACACTACTTGCTTATTGTGGGGCAAAATGATCAGATTGGCCCTATAGCAGGATTAGTAATTAAGGAGATACCTCTGTTAAATTTAAGGATTGTACATCTGTATTCCTTTCAATTGGAATGACCTAAACCTGTGCCTAGCTCATAAATGAAATTATGAATAAAAAAGCATGATGCAATTTCTGCTGGGTTTGTATTTGTTGTGTGTAGAGCATGTGTATTGGATATGGAACATATGAAAAGCAGCATGATATGTTGCTTTAGAGGACTTAAGCTGTCAATGGGAGAAAGTCAGTGTTTTGGTGGGAAAACAGTAGGTGAATAAGAAAGAATTCAGTGCACTTTTATAGAGTGCTGTGGAGGCTGTTTCTATAAAGAACAGCTAGCTGTCTGTCTGAAAGAGAAATCATAGAAAGAGAAAGATGTCCCCATCAACCTTACCACAATACTAAGAATCATAGAATTAGAGAGGATGCCGGTATCTGAAGAGACAGAGAGAGTGTGTGTGTATGTATCTGAAGTACCTATATTGCTAGGAATTTGAAGTTTCTAATTATATTTGATTATCAGCTGGATTGGGTTGTAAGAAAAAGAAAGCGAAACATATGATTATGGATAGCCAGAAATAACAAGGCCAGGCGGCCATGAATTTTAGCAGTTAAAAACAACAACAGGGAAAGGAATACGGTTGCCATCATTACCTTTTTCCTCTGCTGTTTTAGGTGAACCTAAAAATGAGAGAGATCACAGAAAAAGAGATTAAATTAAAACAGCAATTACTGGAAAGCCCAGGTCATCAAAAGGTAAAGCGCATTAGATGAAATGGGATGTTTAATTGATTCACGTGGCTGTTACTTGGAAGCAAACCTCTTTGTTTTTCATTTGCACATCCTCTACAAAATCACTTTATTGTTCCTGATGCTCCTGATTTTTTTTTCTTTTTTTGTAAATCCGCCCATGTATATGGAGCGCTTTTGAACACTTAGAGATTTCACTCCAGTAGTGAAGGCAGCTCTGGGAGTGTGCAGATATGCCAAGGTTTCAAAATGAATGGAGCTCGGAGGCTACTCTGACACTCTAATTTAGAACTTTAGTTTATGTTCCACATTTTATTTATTTTTACTTTTTATTTTACCATATTTGTTTATCATATTTTCCAGATCTGTTTAAAGTATCTCTTAAAATTGTTATCTTGTTTAAGCATTGATACTTCATCTTGTGGGAGAGGTAATGTAGTCTTGAGACAGAGGACAATAGGAGGTCTCAACATCTACTCCAAAGACCTTGCAGGTTCACATTTGCAGTAGACGTTGATTTGAAGCAGTATAGGTCTTCTCAAGCGCTAAGAGAAGTAACCTTTGTGGAATTATTCAGAAGAATTAGCAGTGCATGTATACAATCCTTCCCCTCTTTTGTCCCCTTTAAGTATTAGAAGTTACTAATATAATATATGTTATTACACTTCCAATATTGGAGAATGTGAGAAGCACCAAGCACAGTAGTATGGCTGTGGATGTGCAATGCTAAATCCTGCTGAGGTGTTCTTAAGGGGTGTGGAAAAGGCTGCTATTGATCTTTCATATTGCACAATAAGACTCTTAAATGAGTTCCAAGTGATTCTTAAAGATGCTATCTTCTTGAGTACTCTAAACATTTCAGTGTCAAACCTATTTGCAATATGAAAGTGTGACCGGATGAGGCTCATGTAAGGATTGCTTATAACATGCTCTGATGATGTTCCTCTCCTGTTCCCACGTTCCATTCCCTGCTTCCTGAACAGTCTCCTTCAAAATGGTATTGGAAATTAGTACCTGTAAGTGAATTAATTCTGTATGAGAGTTGTCATCCACAAAACCATGGCTTTTAATAGGTCTTTTATTTGCTTCCATTTAAAGTGCCGCGTTCACCACTTGCAATGTTTTCTTGGCTTCGGGCATTTTTTAAAAAGAAAATGTAGATTCCATTCCATGATTCTACGTACTGTACATGAAGCATACATCACTAGGCAGATTTCAGAGTTGCCGATACTGAGAGTCTAGAATGGGAGGCAAGGAAATTCTAGAGCTGACTGAATCCCTATTTCAAAAGATTCCTTCTGTGCAAGCATTAAGGTGAAGCTGGTCAGTTTAAAGTAATTTGGGTCTTGCCTTCCCTGAAAATAAGGGAATCGATCTATATATTTCGACTTTACATGGCTTGGTTTGGAAAACTTGCTTCTGATGAAAGTGTCTCACCCTCTCCAAATTCTTGCATATCATGATATCTTAAGAATGTTTTCCTTCAAACACCTAAATGCATCGTTCTTTCACAAAAAACAACTCTTCAGGGTTTTACATTCCTACGTCTAAGACAGATTCTCATTTGGCTGAATTTAGAGTTGCCTTGTTTGAATATGGATAACAGAGATGTTTCATCATGGTCCTTCTAAATCCTTCCGATTCTCTCACTAGTCTTTGTTGAGCCTACACTTGCAGCTCTGATTCAATTGCTCAGTTAACAGGAAGTTTAGATTTCCAGCTGCCTGCGGCTTAAAATACACTGTTTCTGAGCAGTGTTAGCGACAGAATGCTAGGGTTTCATAAACGTTGAGTTGGACAGATTCTGACAGGAGGGCATCCACTGCTAATTAAGAATAGCAAGTGGCTGTTGCATTTTGGAAAAGTTACCGCAAGCCCGAGGCCATATCCCAGCTTATAAGCATGGGGTTTAAAAAGTTTGTTTAGTACAACGTTATCTTCTCGTGCAAGTTCCGCTATAACGGTCCATTGATCTTTTCCTTTTGCAAAAGAGTATTTCATGTAAAGGTCAGCAGATTCTGCCCCTCCCAAATTTTATTAGGTAGCATAAAAAGCTTGCCACCCCATGCAAAATCCCTCTGGTTCATTACGATAGCTAAAATTAAATCCACTTTAGACCTCCAAATGAAGTCAGAGTTCAGGATTCAATTGAAAGCCTTGATTTTACAAGAAGTCTCAGCAATTTGGATAGAAATCTTAACTCCCGTTTTGCTGCTTCAGCTTGTGAAGCAGAGAGACTAGAGTGAGGACTTTAAGCCAACCAGTTCACCTTAGTGTGGAAAATAATCATACGCAAGATTTAACGGGTATTATGACATGAAATTGAAATTGTGTATATTTCTGATTGCCATCTAAAGCATGCGATGATGATGATTTGCTTAAGGCTGATACAGTGCATGCCTTACTGAGTGCATGAAACATCTGGTGGCTTATGCTCCATAGTACAGTATGATTCACATCACATTTCAAGTTTGTGGAGAGTCCCAGGCTGGAGGAAAAGCAGAACTTTACAAAATCTCACAACTCAAGTATTCATATGCGACCTTTGCCCCATGGATTAGAATATATTCCTCAGTAAAGGAACAAGATATATTCCTTTTTGCAATATCATGTCAAGATTCGGCAGAGCTCTTGCCTAGCTTACTTTAAATGAAACCAATTTTCAAATTCAATACCAATTCTGTAATGCTGTTGCATTTTTCTCCTCTCTCGCTCAGAGCTTTTAACCAAGCAAGATTGATTTGCAAAAATAATCTCTCAGCCTTTACTTTCCTCAAATATTTCATACAGAGACATAGCCTTACTTAGCTGAATAGCAATTTTGTGTTTTATGTTTTGGATAAAAATAGTTATTGAGAACAGTGGTATAGATCCGGTAAGTATCAGTTAAAGGCTATAAGATGAATGTGGTCTGAATACAATGTCATGGAATATTACAATTTATTATTTTTTTTACTTTGCTTTTCCTGCTAAACTGGAAGAGTTTTCAGCTGCATCTGGTTTTATGCAATGTTATGTAGTGGCCCTTGAAGTTTTAATTTATATATTTAAATAGTGTGTGAAGAATCTATGGAGATGCTCCGTATGTTTAATTAAAGTTTTTAGCTTTGTTGTACGCCGCCCAGAGTCACCTGCGGTGAGATGGGTAGCTATATAAATTGGTTTAATAAATAAAAATAAAATACTGGAAATGGTCATTGGGAGATTATTCTTAATTTTTTGTCAGAAACAACTTATAAGCTAAGTGAGTTGTTGATTTGGTGCACAGCAGCACCAGAGATCAGATTAATAATTAAATTAGTATGTGTTGATAGTGGGAGGAAGAAGAGATATACCGTTGTAATGAAAATGCTAATTAGATTATTACAAACCTTTGCCCATTCTGAACTTTGTATCTTTTTTCTGTGTGTTTCTCAAAAAGAATAGTTACTTATGTATTCTTAAAAGAATATTAGTTAGGTTTAGGGCAGGGTCTGCTCTTAGAAAAATGATGCCAAAATTAGCAAGGAGGTATTCACAAAATGAAATGCTGTAACAGCAAAATGCTTACAACGCCTTGTAAATAGAAGGTTGCTGGTTTGAAAAAGGGTGGAAATATTTTAGAAGAGCCCGGGTGGGATCGGTGGGGACTGTGTTGGATGGAGAGTGGGGAAGATGGGTTCTAGGCCAGCCTCAGCCCTGGAATCTCATTGGGTGGCTTTGGGCCAATCCCAATCGACCTCAAGGGTTGTGGTGCAAAAAACGAGCTCTGAATAAAAGGTGGGGTATAAATCTAACAAGCAAATGAAACCTAGTTTTATTAAAAAGCCTATTATTATTCTAACTGAATCAAAAAGTGTAGTTTAATCAGCACCAAGCAGCAGGAAGAATCTGGGCTGTACTTTTGACCACAAGTTCTGTCTTCCCCTCTCAGGTACGCTACCGCCGAGATCACCTTTCAAGTCGGCAGTTGCCCTTCTTTCCGTTGCTTGAAGACCTGATGAAGGATTGCAGTGATGGTGCAGCTTTACTGGCTGTAATCCATTATTATTGCCCTGAACAAATGAAGCTTGATGGTACGTTGACAACAGAGTTTAAAAGAAACCCAGTTTCCAGATACTGCCTGAATGGAACATGAGGAGATGCCAGAGTGTCTTTAGAATGACATTTGAATAACTGTGGTGTCCCTTATAACTCAGTCACATTCAAGGGACTGATCGAGTCTAACCTGCTTGGTGTTAGTACCGTTGATTGCAGTGGGAAATATCAAGCCCACGTTAAACCATCTTTCTGGTTGAAATTAATGGGACAAAATTGCTTAATTTCTTCTCGGATCAGAATTCTGCAGAAAAGATACCAGTTTCTTTGTCTTTATGGACAATTGAGGTACCTTATGATGTATAGTTGTACAAAAGTTTCTTAAATAAGGGTGTTCCTCCCAGATTACTCCTTTGGGGACTTGTGATGTGTCTTCCTGGCTGCTTCTTTAGACAATATTCAGTTCCCATCTCCAAGCAGCCTTCCCCAGTCTGGCATTTTCTGGATGGGTTTCAAGTCTTAGAATTTCTTTCATTCCCATTGGTTAGGAAAGAGTGAAAGTTACTGCCGTAGAGTAATGGCGTTTTTGAGGATCACTAGAATACCTTCGTTATCTGAAAATACTGATTAATAGAACAATCCTGAAAGTGTCCATCTTCTTGGTTACCTTCTTTCTCATCAAGATATTTAAAACCCAAACTTACACGACTCATTCTTTAGCCCTGTTCTTTTAATTCTTCACTGAAACTAGCCAGAACCTCTCTCTTCTCAGGCCTATGATATAACTTTTTCACAATCCAATAGCGCGAATCCTATTTGGTGTCTTTGCCAGAAGATAGAAAACTGCTTGCTTTCCTAAGACTTCCATGGCATGTTCTTCAGGGAAGACATTATGAACCATGGAAACTGAGAGTTGATTCTCAAGGCTATTTGTGGTCATTGTCTTGTTTCTTCCTTACAACTCCTAGAAATCTGCCTGAAAGAGGTAACATCGATTGCAGATAGCATCTATAACATTCAGTTGCTTCGAGAATTTGCAAATGAGTATCTCAACAAATGCTTTTACCTTACTTTGGAGGACATGCTGTATGCCCCTTTAGTTCTAAAGGTAAGAGAGAAAGCAATTACACACTTTTCAATAATGCAGCAGCAATCTGTTTATATTCCTTTTTTTCCCCCCCTTCCCTAGCCCAACGTAATGGTTTTCATTGCCGAATTATTCTGGTGGTTTGAGAACGTCAAGCCAGATTTTGTGCGTCCCAGGGACCTTCAAGAAGTGAAAGATGGTGAGTAATTTGCTGATGGTAACAAGGAAATATTCCAATAGAATTGGTTTCTTTGTCTTCACCTTGTAGGATGTTCTCAAGTCTTAATTTCCAAAATGGCAAATTGGTCTTTTTTGTCAAGACGCAAAAAGTTGCTAAAGAGGAGGGACAGATCCCTTTCAGGCCCCTTTAATGCAGAGTCTGGAAAGTGGAGCCAAAATGCCCATCTCCCTCCTTCCATTCTGCCACTGCTTCTCCCAGTAGTCAGTGACAGCAAGTACCTTGCATCTGTCCTCTATAGGAGTGCCTGAAGAAGAAAATGCATATTATTCCACTCCTCCCCTACCTAAAGATGGAGTTCAGTCTGCCAAGAGTTGCCCTTCAGAGTCTGTTCTGGAATTGTAAAGATGACCTCATGATAGTTGGCTCGCACTAGAGAAACTGGAGGTGGTTCATGATCAACAACTCCGTCATAATTGGAGCTTTTCCCAACCCGATGCCTTCCAGATACAAGCTGGCTGGGACTGCTGGCAGTTGAAATCTAATCTGTATCGGGGGAAGATGGCTTTTAAGCTCCTTAGATGGAAGCAAACTCCTTGGTTCCTTTTTCATCTTTGATTCCTGTTGCAGTTTTTGAAACCACTCAAAGGGGTTCCCTGCTGGAACTCTCCTTAGGAAATTTTGGAATGGTTTTCTTTTAAAAATGGCAGATCCCTCGCACAGGTTTGGAGGTGCTGCAGTTGGGCCTTCTGCTCCTACCCCTTTACACTTAGCAGATCCTTTAGATTTCTTTTCTGAACTTTTGGGGCTCCTGATGGCTGGAAGGCTGTTTCAATGAATACTAACCCTGTGATCAAATGTTTTAGCTAAAACCATGCTGCAGCAGAAAAGCAGCCGCCCGCCAGTACCCATTTCCAATGCCACAAAGCGGAGTTTCATGCCAAGTCCAGCTGTTTCCAGTTCCGCTGATGTACAGCCCCCAACTCAGGTCCCGCTGGAGACTTGCAACAGGTATTACCAATATCCTGAAATATTTTGATATTCCCTTTTTCGGTTGCTCCACCCTGTCTTGCTTTCCTCAAAGGTTTTAGGGCTCTTACACAGTTCTGTGGGAGAAACCTAACCAGCTGCAGCTCTTTGGGCTATTAGTGGTAGAGATACTAGTTTGGCTCTTCTGCTTACTCAGACTTGTTATCCTGAATTATTTTGCTGTGAAATAATAACTGGCCTGCTGCCTCTTTCCATAATTTCCAGTGGGGCAACTAACTGTATGGACTCGATGCTCTCTTTTTTTTACCTGAGCCAGAATAGCGCTCTGCTTGAAGCTCATAAGTTTATGAGCTTCAGGGTTTATACTGTTGAACTGTTTATCTTCATTCTGTGGTGGGTTGATTTTACATTTCTTGGTATAATGAAAACTGATTTTATTATTATTCATTAGAATTTTCCTAGCTTTACCCCCATGAACAGGTTACCTTTGGATAAAGCTTAAAAGCCAGTTCCCAAGGAAATGTTGCTTGGCTATCCACTTGCTTGTAGTAAAAACGTAACGTCGTCTTTGAGTCAGGCTTGATTCCTGAGGAGGTTCCAAGCACACTTCTGGTTTCTTTGGCTCCTGATGACGTTGGACATTGTGGAAGTGGTTTGCCATTGCCTTGTGGATGTCTTTTTAACTTCCCAGTCTAGCTTGGGATTCTCCAAGAATTAACCAGGTCCGGCCCTGGAAGCTAAGATTAGTAGCAGAACATGTCAATTAGTTCTGATTGGATTGGTAGCTTTTAATGGACGTTCTGCTCGTGTCTACCTAAGGCTGGGAGAAGCATCAGGGTGCCTTGCCATCCTTCTTTTGCAGTAGCACTTAACCGCCATCCTCACACCCATATAAATCAGGAAAAGAAATCCTTCTGCCGTAGCCGCCAAGTGACACTCTAAGTGGGCTCTGAGAAGCATAAAGAGGCAAATTTAACTGAGTTGAAGGCAGGCACAGTTCACAATAAAATTAGGTAACCTACCAAGAACATGAACTGGGCAAGGGGAGTAAGAAGCTACATATTTCAGCTGGTTGGCAGAAAAGTTGTTCTCAGAATTTATTTTCTAGGTTTATTCTTTCCTTTGTATCTTGGCCCAAGTAATTTGGACTTTCATGTTGTCCTGGTTTCCCTGGGGTTATCTGGTCCTGCGTTTGAAATGCTTCGTGCAATAATCTTGTAGGACTGCTTTCCTGTCTCGGTCACTTGATTCTCCCTCATCAAATTACAGTAATTAATTCTGAAGGAAGGACTCTTGAGGCCTGGATTCTTATTCACTCCTCTTTCCTTTTTTAAAAAGCTTGCTCTGTGTTAAGACCACGTGCTTGGTTAGCTTAAGTAGAACCTCTCGATCTGAGGTCGCTGCTTGAGCCTGGTTTTAGGTGGAAATCCCTGACTTCTTTTAACTGTGATTTGTATTTAGGAAAAAGGCTTGGAAGTGGCCTAGCGATAGGTGTTTTCTTGCTTATTGCAGCATTGTTTCTGTTTGAAAAGAAAGCCTGTTATATCCTGGGTGATCTCTGGTGTGTTTTCAAACAGTGGCAAAGGAAGTCCTGCCTTCAGCCCATCACATCCCTTGCTGCCTTTAAGGCAGAAGCAACAGAAGTCGCTGCAGGGGGAAGACAGTTCAGGTAATTGGCTAATTCCTGTTCTCGTGATTCTTGCATGATGTGCAAAGGTCTCATGGCTGCAGAAGGGGCATTTTTGGAACTTGGTCATTCTGAAAATAATTCAGCATGACTAACAAAAGCAGTGCTTTTATAGCAGTTTTAATACTGCCCTTAGAATGAGGACATTCATTCGTTCATTCATTCAATTTATATGGCCGCTCATCTCACACTCATGACTCTGGGTGGCTAAAAGAGTTAAAAACAGCACAGGAAATGAGAGATGGCAACCCTCATCTAAACTGCACTTGGGTGAAAAATTCACCAGTGACAAACCCAACCGCTGTATAGGCTCAGCCACGTCTCCTGATCCCCAGGCCCGGTGACAGAACCGTGTCTTTAAGGCCTTACGAAAGGCCAGCTAAGTCGGGGCCAGTCTAATCTCTGGGGAATGCCATTCCATGGCACCAGGCACCATGACAGACATCCTGCTTAAAACATATAATGATTGACATAATATGCCTTTATAAGACCTCTACTTCTCAGGCTGCCCTGGTTAGCTCACTGGGAGCTTCTGAAACCTTTCAAAAGGCATTAAAGATCTGGCTCTCCCCCCAGGCACTGGATCAGGGAGTGGTCCAATCCTGTTGGCTGAATTTTTGCTTTATGTCCTTATGCTTTCAGGTTTTTATTATCGGCTCACTGGGTTGCTTTTAAATGGACCTAATTGTTGTTTATTAGTTACGTAGGCTGCCCTGAGTCGTGTTTTGAGCAGGCAGCTGTATAAATAGAATAAATAAATAAAACATATATTTTTTAAAAAGCATTTAAGTATCAACAAGTATGTTGATAAAAGATTGTGTGATTTCTTGGTTTTTTTTAGATCAACGGCATCGATCTAATTCCTTGACTCGGGTAGATGGGCAGCCTCGGGATTCAATTCTTGCATGGCCAGAGAAGAAGCAAAGGTAAAATGTGTCAGATATTTTATGGAGTAGCCAATTTAAAATAAGATAGCCTGCACTGAAGTTGAACCAAATCATCAGTGATAGATTTCAAATCCCTGTGAGTTGCCTGTTAAAGGAAGTAAAAGAAACAAACTTCAACTGCAATCCATAAACCTGTAAAGTTTTTTAGGCATTGAAGTATAGTCCTGTTTGTCCAGATTTGGTCAACTCTGATACCGTATTCCTTTCCCCTAAATTTTTACTTTGCATGTAAAATGCTCAAAATAAATGCATTTTCTCCTCTCCCCAAACCATACTTCTAATAGTTGGTTGTCTCTTTTAGGCCTCTTTCACAACCAACGCCCTTTGGTCTTCATCATACGGCAAGCAGCGATGCTGACCCCAGTTCTGGCGATAGCATCAGCTTGGCCAGGTCAATCAGCAAAGATAGCCTGGCATCAAACATTGTCAACATCACTCCAAAACAGCAACTTCCATCTGCTCCTGTGAAAAACAACGGGAAAAACTTGCTGAATAATGTTGAGATAGAGGATGAAGACGAAGAATTGATCGCCATAATCCGCCCCGATGCCACCCCAAACCATGGCAGCCTTGAACTTCAGAGCGTGCCAGCTCGATCACCTGGCTTGGTTGCCGCTGCCTGGACTCAGAAATCACAAAGTGAGGTTTCAGGAAACAAGCCAGAGAGCTTTTTCCTGGAACCTTTAATGCCTGCCGTTTTACGACCAGCAAAGGAAAAACAAATCATCAATAAGGAGGATGAGTGCGGAGAAGGGAAAGCGAGAGGCTACGTAACCAAGAGACCGAGCGAGGGGCACACGGCTTTAGTCCGCAAGAAAACCAATAGTAGCCATGGTGATCACAGCCTTAATAGGACTTTTAACCTGGCTTCCAGTTCTGAACTAACCGTGATTGCGGGCCCCAGTGTGGCAGATCCGCTTGTACACTCAGAAGTCAGAATAGAACCCTTTTGCCCCCAAGCAAGCAGCAGTTTGGAGCCTTCATCTCGAGAGCAGCCTTCAGGAGGTTTCTTCCTTCATGCTGCCAAAGCAGAGGAGGCCATGATGAGCAGCACAAACGTCGGCTACCTGAAAAGCCCCAATTCCCACATTGCAGATACCTCATGGACAATAGTCAGGCAAGATTCTGACTCGTCTATTCTAGATATGGAGGAAGCTGACCAAGACTTAGTGGCAGATGACCATCCTCTAATTGCCAAGTACATAGGAGAAGAGGAATCCGCAAAGCTTCAAGAAGACATGAAGGTCAAGGAACATGAAGATAAAGATGACGCCAGTGGGCGTTCAAGCCCATGCCTGAGTACAATTTCCCAGGTTAGTAGTGTGTCCATGACTAGTGGGAGTGCCAGAATGACTAACTTTGCTGAGCGGAAGCTTCAAAGACTGAACAGTTACGAGACAAAATCCAGCACAAGTAGCTCACAGAAAACCACACCAGATGGATCAGAGTGTTGTCCAGCTCCACTAACCACCTGGAAACAGAAGAGGGAGCAGAGTCCCAACAGACAGAGCAAAGATAACGTTAATCTCCTGGCTTCTGAGCTGGTGCAGCTTCACATGCAGCTGGAGGAGAAGCGAAGAGCAATAGAGGCTCAGAAGAAGAAGATGGAGGCATTGTCAGCCAGGCAGAGGCTAAAACTGGGTAAGGCGGCATTCTTGCATGTGGTGAAGAAAGGGAAAGGTTCTGATGTTTCTCTGCCACTTAAGCCAGAACCCTTCACGAAAGAGTCCTCTGGGCACAATGGGGAAGGCATGGAGGAGGATGCTTTGAATTCTAAAACAGAGGCGTTCCTTACGAAAGAGGAAGTGGGTGAGGATGTTCTTGATTCTCATGAAATGTCCAAAGTGAAGGTTCAGGAAACAGTCGGTTTTGTTGAGCAGAACGTTTCTAGAGAGCCCACCATCAATGAAATTGAGAAAAGTAAGATGATTTCTGCTGCTCTTCTAGAAGAGAACATTGAATCTGCTGACATCAACGAATGTGATCTTTCTATCGAAAAGCTTAATGAAACAATCAGTACCCTTCAGCAAGCTATCCTGAAGATTTCTCAGCAGCAGGAACTTCTCATGAAAGCCCCAACGATGTCGACAACAAGGGGGAGCTCTCAGGACCAAAAGACAAAAGCCCCCATTCACTTTGTGGAGCCCCTCTCTCCTACTGGCACAAATAGTCTCCGCAAACCACCTCGGCTTGGTCAAGGCCGGAGTCCCCGTTCAGGAAGGCCATCTGAACTAAAAGTGGCCAAGGACCGCCAGCATACCATGCCTCGCATCAAGACTCCAACTCCTAGCGTTGACACCTTACCACATTTAAGACAATTTCCATTGAACAATTCATCCAAGATGCCAGTTGAAACGGCTCTTGAAAATAACCTGGATCCAGGTAGCACTCCGCAGGAGAAACTTTCCTTTGAGAGTTACCGGCTCTGCGATGATAATCAGCGGGGGGGATTTGTTTTGTCCTCTTCCAGAGACACAAACATCCTCTCGGAAGCGATCAAGGATGTGAACAGTAACGTTGAAGACTTTCACCTTACTTGTTTTGATGTCTCAGGAAAAGAAAACATTCCTGTGGAAGAACCGTTGAAGAGCAAAACTAGCCTTATTGAAGTAGACCTCTCTGATTTAAAAGCACCTGATGAAGAAGTAGAAAGCCAGAGCAGCTCTTCTGATTTGATCAGTGAAATGGACCAGAAGTCAGGCGTTGGGTTCTTCTTCAAGGTAAGAATGACCAAGGCCAGAAAACAGCTTTTAGCAACTCCTCTTCCTATCCTAACCCTGTTAGATTTGGAGACATGGGTGCAAGGAACAGATTGTTTTTATTTTACTGGCAAAATCATTGTATCGTTGTGGTGTGTTTGTTTGTTCAGGAAATGTTTTTGGAGTGAAATTGTAACTTTCTGTCAACAAACAACTTGACAGCAATCAGTTATCATGCAAAAGGGTCCGTTCCAAGTTTTGGTTAGCATGTATCCATATACCGTTATAGTCAGCTGAATAATGGTTTCATTAGTGGGATACTGTTTAAAGGAAAAGATAATCTCCTCTAGCATTTGGCTAATTTGAGCATGGTCTTAACTTGGTTCTCTTTCGGAAAGCCATAAGATGGTATACCGAAGCGTTCTCCAATCTGAGTACTGCAGGGAATAGATTTCAGTTCTTAGAATTCCCCAGCCAACATTGGCATGCAGAGAACTCTGGAAGTTTTAAGACCATAGATTTGGGGCATGCAGGGGGAAGAAGGCTGTGCTAAAACTTCTGCTGTGTCTTGTGCTTTCCTGTCATTTTGGGTGCATAGTAATTAAAAGGTAACAAGGAAGAAGCTTGTTCTTGAGGTGTTGACGTGATCAGTAGATGCTAGTCTGTTTACTACATGCATATATGCGTCTCTCCTGTTTTTTTCGCCTCAACAGTGCTCAAAACTGCAAACTTAGGAGTTTCCAGGTGCAAAACAGATCTGCTTAGTTGAATCTGTGCTGGTCAAAGACCAAAATAAAAATGCTGTATTGTTTAGTTTAAGAACTTTCAGATTTAAGCTTAGGAGTGTAAAGATCTTGGGAGATCTACCGGCTAGCCCATGGGTTAGCTTCTGCAGTTCACTGTGAATTGAAGAAATGGTGACTCTGTGGTTAGGACAGCCACTGTCAGTGTATTTTTTCCCTATTGGCCCAGGCAATACTTTGACATGTCTCCGCTTTCTAGGATGAACAGAAAGCCGAAGACGAGCTGGCGAAGAAACGGGCAGCTTTTCTCTTAAAGCAGCAACGCAAAGCCGAAGAGGCGCGGCTTCGAAAACTGCAGCTCGAGGTGGAAGTTGAACAAAAGAGGGACGAAGCCCGGTAAATACCGTATCTCTATAAGGAAAGATAAAGGGGGTTGGGTGGGGGGCGTGGGGCCATTTCCTTTTGCTTTGGTTTTCTCTCCCTTCCTTGAGAGTCTGGAATCCACCCTTGCTTTTGCAGTCGTAAAGCTGAAGAAGACCGTCTGAGGAAGGAGGAAGAAAAGGCCCGCAGGGAGCTCATCAAACAAGAGTATTTGCGGCGAAAGCAACAGCAGATTTTGGAAGAACAGGGCTTGGGGAAGCCCAGATCCAAAGCGAAGAAGCCACGGCCAAAATCTGTCCATCGGGAGGAATCCTACAGTGACTCGGGAACCAAGTGTTCCTCTACTCGTAAGCCACAGCCCCAATTTTGGTTTTCGTATTGATCTGGTGAAGCTCTTAATCATTTCTATGTGCTTACAACTTCTCCCCTTTTCTCTTTTGGTCAGCTGATAATCTGAGCAGTGCCCAGTCAGGTTCTAGCTTATCCTTGGCATCTGCAGCAACAACTGAGCCTGAGAGCATTCATTCAGGGGGCACGCCTTCCCAGAGGTAAGAGCACCTGTAAAGAGAGAGTTTGGGGCTTTGGGAATAAAAGAGGGATGTTTCCTGTGTGCCTTGTTTGACCATGGACCAAGAATTTCAACTGGTAGGTAACGGTGTTTCATCTGGAACTACAACTTCAGTCCACCTCCCCTCTTTTTGACAGTGAAGTGAAAAGTGGGAGGAGGTTAGGTTTGGTGTGTTTGCCCTGGGTAGGTTTTGTTTTTGTTTTTTTTCTTTTGGCCAGATATGATCCATGAGAAAACATGGATCATGGAATTGCGTTTCTTTTGGCAGAGTGGAATCAATGGAATCCTTGCCCATCTTGAGCAGGAACCCAAGTCGAAACATGGAGCGAGACTGGGAAAACACTTCAACGGCGTCTTCAATTGCCTCCGTGGCAGAATATACAGGTAAAGCGATGGATCTTAGCTGCCTCCCCAAAGCCTTGCAATTTGATCCCTAGGGCTTTGAGTAGGAATACCGGTGCCACCATTTGGTGAACCTGGACGAGCGGCCCAGGGCTCAACTTCCATCAGCTCACCAAAAGGGAAATTCCATGGTTGAGTTGGAGGTTTGAAGTTTGCCATCGCTTTTGAAACAAAAGGGCAGGGCGGCGGGAAGCTTTTAAAGGGATACTTGAATGGAATGAATGATTTACCTGCTTAAAAAACCTTCTCTTTCTAGGGCCAAAGCTATTTAAGGAGCCCAGCAGCAAGTCGAACAAATCCATCATTCATAACGCCATCTCGCACTGCTGCCTGGCGGGAAAAGTGAATGAGCCTCATAAGAATTCCATCTTGGAGGCAAGCATTTCTCAGGGCGTTTTGGTATCAATCTGTAATCTGTCCTACAGCACGTTTGCCCGAGTCCCAGGAGGAGAACGTAAATCTGCCCTGCTTATTTGGGGAAGGATCAGTGGCAGCCTGTTAAAGGAGGCTGATGGGCACACACTTTGCCCTGAGCTGCTATGTAGGGTGCATTCAGGGTGGGGCATGACGTGAGCCCAGACAATTGTGGTTTATAAACTAGGGGTTATGGCTTACTGTAATACAGGAGCCTTTCCAGTTGCGACAAACTCAACATATCCTAGTTAAACCTGTAAGTAGCCTCTGCTGGAGCTCAGTCCAGATGAAAATTACCCTATTGCAGGGTTGCCATTGGGAAGCCTGGCTTGAAGCTGCTGGCCCTCCTCTTAGGTTTACACGTGGTCAGCAGCCTTGTAGATTCCTTGAATACTTTGGTTTTTTCTGGCCCTCAGTTTTCTTTTCCGCCTGCAGGAACTGGAGAAGAGCGAGGCCAACCACTACATCATTTTATTCCGTGATGCTGGCTGCCAGTTCAGAGCACTTTATTGCTACTACCCTGACACAGAAGAAATCTACAAGCTGATAGGAACCGGGCCAAAGAGCATCACCAAGAAAATGATAGACAAGCTGTATAAGTACAGCTCGGACCGAAAGCAGTTTAACCTGATTCCGGCCAAAACCATGTCCGTCAGCGTAGACGCTCTGACGATTCACAATCACTTGTGGCAACCGAAGCGACCCGCAGTGCCAAAGAAGACCCAGACTCGCAAATGACTAGGTTTCTGCGGGAGAACTGGGGTAGATTTCATCGTTGGGTATGAAACGAGCAGAACCATAAACCCTTTTTTTAAAAAAAAAGAGAGAGAGAGAGAGAAAGCGGCTTCTCAAACATGGATGCAAGGAAAGAGTGATGGAACGACTTCAGTGGTTTTTTTGCGGGGCTGAAACTTGTTGGTTGGCTCGATTTGGTATGAATGACAAAATGGCTGTTACACGCATTGCTAATTTCCTGCGGCTTTTCACAAGAGGGAAGTTCCCCGTGGCAAGATCTGAAGCTGCGGATTTACTTTTTTTTACTTGAAGCTCTTCATTGGTACCAGTTGGGATTCTTCGTTCCTTTCTTTCTCCCGGTTCTACACTCCTGCAAAAAGCAAGCTGTCTCAAAGTGGTGAAGCTGCCTTTAGGAGAAAAAGAATGGACCAGGCAGTGGGGGCGGGCAGGTTTTCCAGAAGAAAGCTTTAGGAAAAAGTGACTTTTTCCCTTCTCGACTCCTAAGGACTTGATTAACACACAAACCTAATGGTACTGCATACATACTGCCAATGTTAAGCCAGGCTCTGATTTCTTGGGGGGGGGGGGGGAGAGAGGGGCAGCCCAGCCCAGCCCACCACGCCATCTGCTGCTCAGTTTACCTACAGTATCAATTTCTTGATATGCACTGAAAGATGTAAAATCAGTCTTTTTTTCTTAATTAAAACAGAGGACATACGCAAATTGTGATGGCTTGCAAACCTTCTGGGAACACACAATCATGATGAAGCCAACAGGTGCTACGGCTGGATTCGCTATCCCTCATTTGAAACTTGAGACATGCCGAACGGAATACAGTCAACTTCGGTTTTCTGATTCCATTAGTATCCTAATCTCCCCCCCCCTTTTTTTTTTGGGTCTTTTAAAGACAGACCCTAGTAATAGTGGAATGTTTTTCACTCCAAGCACGTTAACTCCGTTGAGTGGTGCACTTGATATCACCGATTCTGATGCTTTTTAAATCATGTCCTGAACTGTAATGCTACTTTGTCCTGTCTGTCTGTCTGTCTTTGCTGAATGAGCAGCGTGCTCTTAAGATGGAGTGGTTTTTTTTTTTAAGTTTTTCGCGGGAGGTCTTTTTAATTTGGGAGGGGAACGCAATATACAAGTACCTACAAAAGCCAACTGATTTCCCTATACTAGCAATTTTTAAACAAATCTGTATTTGTTTTGAAAGCTCAAAGATGGCTTTGGGTTTCTTCCCCCCCTTTCATCTTGAAATATTAAATCTTGAGTTAAAACCTTTAAACCTGTGTGTGCTTTCACCTTCCAAAAATAACCCCTCTTCACAACATTTGGGATAATGCGGGGAGCTTTGATGATTATGTGACTTTTAAAATGCGTCCATCCCCCTTTCCCTCCTCAAGGAAGGCACGATAATATCTGTAGCCTTTAGCCTTCATCGAGTCCCAAACGCATCTTTTTCAGACTCTACTGCTTGGACATTTTTTCTGATACGATTTTGGTTTGCACGTTTACTCCTACTTGAAATGTTACTTGAATACGTTTTGTGTAGTGCAAAGGGCGCTCTTCCAACACTAGAGAAGAACGAAAGAGATGAAACACACTCTTGTGTAATTATTTATGAACTCAGCAAAATAATAATGGGATGGAAAAAGAATTTTGTATAGAAAGGCGAGGAATGGCGTATTTAACACTAAGCTGGGGGAAAAAATCAGAATGAAGGTCTTCCATTGTTGCCGTTTCCTTGGTTCTATTCCCTCGAGGTTCATTTTAAATAGATTGACTGTAAATTTTGTTTGATAGTTGACTACCTTGTAAATAAGGCTTCATTTCTAAAATATTCAGAGTATTCAATGTGGTTGTGAGCATTTTTTTTTTTTTTGGTTACATGCTCTTCATGCTTGATTTCTCACTGTTTGATATACAACATATTTATTTTATGGAAGCACTGAAATAAAGGTCATCATCTGATTTTTGTTACTCCATGCATCTTTGTGTAGTGTGTGTGGTTATACACGTCCCCATGTGTCAACCTATGCATGAGGCTTTAAAGATGTGTTTCGTTACGTTCCTGCATGTCATGGGCAATTTAGTTCCTTAAGCTCCTATAGAAACAGCCACTGAGTTGCAACTCTAAGGTTAGACCTTTTAAAACAGTTTACGCATTTCGCATAGAGGACTTTTCATTCTGGCCTGTGTTGATGAGTTACCCATTAGGGTGTTCAGTGGCAGTGCATCAATATTCCCTATGAAAACCGTATCTCTATACGTTCAATACTGCAGCTGAATCTTTATCTCACGTACTGTGAGAGTGCCCGCTTTATACTAAACAGAGGGCAGAACTTAATAACGCCAATTGTTAGAAATTGTAATCGTTCTGAGCAGGAGGTCATCACTTTCCTCCTATAAGATCAGGCTTCAGCCGTTTCCAAAAAGGTTGCCAAATTGTTAACCATAACCATGTAGTGATTAAAGCATCAGGCTAGAAGCCAGGACACCATGAGTTCTGGTCTGCCCAACAGATAAAGCTAGCTGGGTGATTTTGGGGCCAGTCCCAATCTCAGCCCTGGGAGGAAGAAGGGAAGGGCAAACCACTTCCAAAAAACCTTGGCAAGAAAACTGCAGAGTTGTGTCCAGGCAGTCGCCAGGAGTCAAAGCTGATTTGAAAGCGCAAAATCAGTAAAATTGTAGAAGTCACCTGGTACCTCCCTTTCAGGGTTTCCTGTGCAAGTGTATTGTTTTATATTTTATTATATTGTATTACCACTGTATTGTTACGTTTTTAAAAATTGGTCTCAGACCATAAATAAAGTTAAGAGCAGTGATACTACAATTTATTTGGTTTTTGCCCTGGCCCAATTATTTTTTTAATAGGGCCACTGGCATACCATTTAAAAGACAGATAGGATTCTTGCACCCAAGAAGAGATGTACAACCTTAAAGTGAATTTACTGTAACTCTGGGAGGAAATCATTAAACCAATCTAGTTATTTTCATAAACATGTCTTCAGAGATGCTGAAGAGCAGAATGAAAATGCTGTAAATTAAGTCATTAAATTTAGTCCTCATCCTAGCTGATAGAAATAAAAATATCAAATACTTCACTTCCACTATTTTGCAAGCCCTTATTGCACTCTGGGAAAAGAGATCCATGTTCAAGTTTTCAAAAAATCAAAATGGTTTTCGAAATCTAAAAAAATTTCTTAACATGCTTTTCACGTTTGGTTTTGAATTGGCTTCTAGTTCATCGTGTGCGGATCCAAGATTACAGCAGAGGTAGAACAATTTGACTTCCTGAAGTGTCTGTAAATTTCCAAGGGCATAGTAGCCCTTCCTGCCCATCCAGTTCCCTGCTCTGACTTTAGCCTGATTTGGGGGTAATTTTTGTCTTCTGGGTTCTTGAACTTTCCTCTTTTTCAAACAAACAGTTATCACCTACTTATATGGGGCAAATGGCAGTTAGCAGGTTGAGAATGTAAGTAGTTTGAGATAAGTCACTATGCCTTTTACAGATTTCTCTAGACGGCTCCCAAAGAGAGTTTAAAAACAAAGGATAAATAAAAATGTGTAAGACACAAACTTTCTAATTTATATAAGGTCTAGGCCATCCTAAGTATTTCTGGAGGAAGATGGTTTATGATAAAGATGTGAAGAACTGACTCCAGTACATTAATACAAGGACTGTGAAAAGCTGTTTGTTGCAACCCAGCAAAGTGTGCTCCTATTCAAATTAGCAATATCTCAGTGTAATGTGTTACTAGAAACATGCTTTATTCTGCAAAGGTTTGTATGGTCATTGCCAAAGATTTTTTGCTAACAGGATTAATGTGGGCCTGTAGCAAGCTGGAGAACAAATGAAACGGACCCTTTATGAGTGGTTGAAAAGTTCTTTGACCTCCTTTGCTTGCACCTTTCCACGTGAATGAAGATTTTAATGCCCACGGGCTTTCGATCACACACCTCTTTCCATCTCCAATGCACACTTAGGGTTTCTGGCTCAACACTTTGGTTTCAAACTCAGGAATACCCATCTTCGAAGCTGCATGCTGTCTTTCCTTCCCTTTAAAGCACCTTTGCTGGATCACTTGCATGCATCAACACACTACTAGTATGTCATTGGCATGATTTTAATTGTATGTGTGCTTTTTGTAAGCCAGCCTGAGAGCTACATGGAAGGCTAGGATACAAATCCCCTAGATTTGCAATATAGCTTGAGGATTACTAGATTGAAGGAGACCACCTTTCATTGGCCAGAGATGGCACTGAATGTTTTGGGGAAGCCTCAAAGGCTTCAGTGGGGGGCAGAAACAACAATGCATACACCTTAAACCGCTGAAAAATAGCTTTTGTGAGTGCAGGTTGCTCACCCTTGTCCTACAAAGAAATAATGCTCGGGGGCCAAGAAAGAAGCAGTCCTGTTTCTCATGGAAGCCATCTTCAGCTGAGCTTCCTCAAGAGGAAGAAGTTTGGTCTGAAATAAATTCTAAGCAACCACGGTTCAGACTGAGAGATCGAAAGCCACTTTCCAATGAGACTCAGTATCAACTGCTAACTACCGATTGTGTCCAAAATTCATCAGTTTGTGGCAATGCCACCCTATGCTTGTTGACAGATCAGCATCAATGAAAGTAAACTTTTTGGAAGCATTTTTTTCCTTTGCTTCTGCACTCAGCAAACAGGTTCAGGCAAGTAGACTGAATTTGCACAATACTTAACTTGGTTACTGGGCTAGTTGAAAATGAACCAACAAGCAGAGTTCATAGAACAGGCAAAGCCACAGAAAACTAACCAAGGTTAACAGTAACCAACCTTACCGTGTTTTCAGATGCAGCTGCTATTCTCAGCTAGTTCAACATGTGCAAACCCCACTGCAATGAGAATGAAAAACTTGAATGTATCATAGATGTCTAATCTGAGCCTTCAGTGTAAAATTACTTATTTGACCCCAGTGCAAGTGAAAAAGAGAGTTCCTTCTGCCGGAGGAAATACTAGTGAAAAGCTAAGCTTAGCACCCATGGAAGTTTTCTAATGTGGAAAAGCATGCTAGTGAAAAAGTTCCCATCTCACCTTATACTGGAGATGCTAAGAGACACACCACAGTGAAAAAATACAACACACGTGAGACCCAACTGTAGTGTATATTCTGGCAAAGTCCTGATCCAACTGTTTTTAGCTTACGTGAATATTATAAGCATTATTTTAGAGGAAAGGAATGATTTAACACATTTTTAATATGAATTAAGAAAACATTTTGAAAACCAACCACCTGACTTGGCCATTACTCTAGCAGAAATGTTTGGAATTGATTCTTAAAAGCAATGAACCATAACCGCAAAACCCGAAAGGTGAAATTAAGCTAAGTGAAGAGCACATTTTATAGAAAGGTGGGCTGGGAAGAGTTATCACCTAAAGCCAATCTTTTCCTGATCTAAAATTCTGGAGATTGTCAGCTGGTCAGGCCAGAAGGTGGTCAAAGAAACAGCAGCAGCATTCTTCTGTGAAATGGTTAACTTATTTACTGCTAATGGGGAAACTCCATGGTAATGCTATGGAGATATAACTCACGTTACCCATTCATGCAACCGCATGGAAGATGGAGAAGACCCCACGGAAGTGAAGGAATCAACACACAGCAGGTTTCAACTTGTCTTGGTCCTGAACGGAGCTGCAGGCACAGCCTTGGAGGTTTTATGAAGGACCAGAACCTGCTACTCTTGTAAAAGCTCTTTAATGCATGGAGAAAGGAGGCGGCACAATAATCTGAGTCCTCGCTTGATAAAAAGGAGAAGCCGGCCAACATGAAATGTAAGTTGTTCAGTCTTGCTTTAGTGGTGGGATTGACTCAGGCCCGAATCATTCTATTCCATCTGGATGGTTGATTGGATAAGTATCAACAGTCCCATTCAGAAAATCAAGTGATTCTATTAGATGCCTTAAATTGAATCAACTAACTGAATCAATCTGATTCTGAAGGTTAGTTCGATTGGAAGGACAAATTCCCCAAAGTCCTTCTGAATTGTTGAATCAGCTTGGTTCCAAGGGCCATTCCTTATAAAGCCCAAGGCCATTCCTTATACATCCCAGATAAATGGCAACCCTAAAGAGGATGGATAAGGGAAACAATGTGATTTGTAGAAATATGCCCTTTCTGCCCATAAATGTAGAAGGGTGAAATTGAGCTAAGGGAAGAGCACATCCAAAGGAGGCCAGTGAAGATTGAGTGTATTCAGTGGGCCTGGCCCATTAACTGATCGTTTTATGCCATTTAAAAATGGCTATTTCTATTTTGAAAGAGGAAAATGAGAAACTGCCAGGAATGAAGGGGTATACTTTGGGGGAGAGGTATGGCTGGCTAAACTATTAAATGTACACCCTTTCTCCTTGAGCAGAATTCAGGTTGATTAACAAAAGTATCTGAATGGTTAAAATGGAAAACGTGTTAAACTTAATGAAGTGTTCCTGCAATTAAACAAAGACCCTTTCTATTTTAGAAGACCTCTGAAGCTTTTCAGAAGCATTGGTTTTGTTTTGAATGGCAATATGCACTGTTGCTCACTTTTAGTGCCATCTGCTCAACTGAACTGAACTGAAAATTGTTTCAGTGTCTAAAGAATGGCCAGTGCATTCAGGCAGGGTTGACACCAACCAGCCTCTCCTTGTTTTCTTAGTGATCCTTGGATTCACTTTGCTCTGGACATCCATTCGGCTTTCCAGGTTCCAGTGTGTCCTTGAGAAAGAATATTTCTGCTCTTCCATCCCAAATGGTGAGTCCTCTTCCAAAGGTGGGTCCGTCTAAAATACTAAGTGTTGTAGGGATAGTACCCAGGTTTCTCTAGGTGGGGCTAGACTTGTCTCAAGCTCTCCAAGGTTGCTACCGATGCCTTCCAGGACAATGAGGTTGATCATAATGAGGCTGATTTATTTCCTGGAGTTGAAAGATCCTTCAACTGAGCCCACCTGATGTGGGTACAAAATGGTGGTGAGAAACTGGGGCCAATGTCAAAATGGCACTTCAGGAGCCATAATGGGGTTACTTTTAAGACCAAACACCTGAGCAACTAGGGAATCACTTCCTTCTCATTTGCAGTTGCATTGAGAGATGCTCGGTAACAGTATTTCAGGGGTATGGTTTAGCTTTTTAGTGGAATGGAATTTTCTCTCTTTTCAACCTGTTCCTTGTTTCTATTGAAGCACTTCTGCACTGCTTCAGAGCATTTTTAAACTTTTTAAAAATATTTATGTTATGAAGGAAGAATGTTAAAAATGCTCTGGTTCTCTCTTAGCATTTTATGGCACAAATAACACAGATCTGAAGGCAACTCAACCCTTGAATCTCTAGAGCAGGGTTTTTTGCCAAACTAAACTAAGTGAGATAAAAATAGTTGGTGTTTTTGTTTCTTAAACCACTCAGTTTGAAAACAGTGGCTGAACTCTTGCAAAGATACTCCTCCAGAAGTGTAGCCTTCAGCTTCCAGACTTCTCCAGCCAAGATAGCTATTGCTGAGAATTCTGACAATTCCAGAGTTGACATCTATACATTTAGAAGGTGTCCAGCTCAAGGAAATCTATTGTAGCTCAACTGCCAGGTCTAGCAACATATATTGGCTGTAAAATTGCCCTAGAATAACCATTGAACGTTTCCATTCCAGATTTCCCTACAGGTCTCACATCCATTCTATTTGTTGTAACCAATCTGGGGATTCTCAACTCAACCGTCTTCAAGAGTCCAGCCTTGTCATCAGTCACCAGCCTTGCTTTAGCTAACAGTGGCATCAGCAGAATTGATCCTGGTGCATTTCATGCTTTCCAGGGCCTCACTAAACTTAGCCTCTATCAGAACAGCTTAACTTATGTGACAGCTTCTTGGCTTTCCAAACCAGCCCAACTAGAAAACCTCACCGTGGCCCAGAACCTCATTACCAAAATCGGATCCGAGACATTTGCTGGCTTCTCCAACCTGACAACCCTGAATATAGCAAGCAATAAGATCTATGAAATTGCCAGTAGGAGTTTCAGAAGCTTATCCAAGCTCACGTTACTCGACCTTTCCAGCAATAATTTAACCAGCTTAACAAGAAACGTGTTTGATGGGATGAGAAAACTGCCGGTGATGAAACTTGGAGGCAACCCATGGAACTGTTTCTGTGAACATCAGGATTTTGTATTATTTCTTCAAGGTATACCCATTGGAAAATGCCTGCTTTTTTAAAGAAAAAATCCAGGACTGTAGAATGAGCTACTGATTTGTCTTCCCCAACCTGCTCCCAGATATATTTTTTGTATTCTGCTAAAACTACAGGGTTTTATTTGGCTTTGACTGAGGGCTGTTATGCTTCATAAACCACAACTGCTTTCAGCCTATTGGGTGAGCTCTGCCAATGGTGGTTTATTCAACAGACCATGGCTTAGTACAATGTACAAACTCAACCAATGTATCATGATCTTCAACAATCTAATGCCCTGATTTTTTGGGGGGGGGTGTTGTTTTTCTTACAGAGCTGATCAACATGTCACTGCTCCAAGATGCTACTTCTGTCATATGTCACAGTCCACCAAGCATGAAAGGAATCCAGGTCTGGAATGTCTCCAACTTCAACTGCACACCAGAATCCCTCTCAACAACTTTGGGGAACAGCTTCTACCAAAGTGGACTGCCAGCTGTGCTGGCTTGTTTAGGTACTTTTCAGTACTCCTGTTAGTCAGTTTCCAACTATTCCTAGTGCCATGGTGCTATAGAGGTTAAAATGTTGACTAGGGCTGTGAAGACCCAGGATCAAGTCCACTTTAACACTGGTCTGCTGTACAAATTTAGACAAAAATATTAGAGATGTTCTAGAAGCTAAAGGAGATATATTTATTTCTAATGGCTTCCCTTTAGACTTCTAAGTACATGCCATTCTATTTTAAATTTTGATTTCTTTGGATTTTAGCTTGCACCATTTTTAAAAATTTGCCCTTGTGCATTAGGCACTTGATCAGAATATTCTGTGACCTCTTCCTGATTCAGTATTTGCCACTGAGTGCTTCTCACCCATTTCAGAATGGGCGTATGATTTTGTGAGTTAATTGTCTTTCCTTCATTTTTGGCAGCATTTATTTCCTTCATCTTGCTGGTGTTCGGGATGTGTATGGTGAGATATGCCAGCAAACGCGTCCAGCCAAGCCAGGAAGCCGTGGAACCACCCACCACTACAGAACCCAAGACTCAGGTTGATTCTGCAGAACATCAACTATCAGCCAAAGAGAGTGAAAACAAAGAGATTGCTACAGCTTTGGGAAACAGAATGCTAAAAATCCGTGCCAAATCTGCATCAGCTATTTTACTGAGAAAAGAGTTCTACCAAAGACAGCAAAAGTCCATGGATGAAAATCAGGAGCAGCCAACAATGCTCTTTCAGTCCCAGAATGACAAAATGCATGTTGGAAAAGAGGACTTGCATCATTCTGCTGGACTGTGGAATTATCAGAAGCTGGAAGAGTCCAGTGGAGAAGAGCCTCAGAGCCACATCAAGGCAAACACTGTCCTGATGGAAGTCTGTAGAGACATTTCAGGGACCAGAGTTTCTTCTGAAGCCTCAGACCAAATAATGCAAGATAATGGAGATTCTACCCATCTTGAAAAAGAAAACATTGTTCATCCTGAACCTTTCCTATATTTAAGTGTGACTACAGCACCTGAAGAACAGATTGAGGTCAAGCCTCAAAAGGATGTCACTTCAAAGAATGAGACCCATGCTTTGAAGCGATCATTGACATGGCCCTTTGAAAGGAAGGTGTGGGACCAAGCACCCGATGGGTTAAGTGTCAGGGAATCATTTGCAGCATGGTTTCTGCTGCCCCCTCTTCACTGTGGCAAGGTGTTGGAAGCTGAGAAACCAGAATTTGATCAGGAATGGCTACATCTATCTCCTAGGAAGGAGCATCCTTTGTGCTCTGATGGGGAACAAGAGAACAAACATGAAGCTGAGTTAGCCAATGAAATGGAGCCTCCACTATATAAAGAATCAAATACAGAATCTACTGCTAAGGCAACAGGTACAGGGGAAATGGATTTGGACAAAAAAATACAAGGGCAATATGATTTACATAGATTGCAAAGCAAGACTAGCCAAGCCTACAATGATAGAGCGAAGCTCGACTTCAAAGGAAAACCAGCCAACCTCCCAGAATTTGTTCTTCAGAACGAATTAACACAAGCAGTTGCTCCAGAATGTATAGGGACAGCTCTGACTGGTATCAAAGCCGCCAAACTGTCCACAAGGGTAAAAAACAAACAACTTTCAAAGCCTGTGTTGTCTCAGTCCAGAATCCTCCAGAAAGCCAACATGTCCCCTCCCTCAAGAACTTCTTTCACAAGTTCACCATATGAGGATGACAATGTGTTGCTGGCAAATAAGGAATGTAAGTACATCAACCTGCTGCATGAGGTGGTGGAGAATCGGGGCCGGTGGACTCGGGAGCGATGGAAACAGACACACCAGAGCTGTGCTTTTCTCCAGCCGCCCACCAAATCCAAGTAGATCACATTGGTCTTCAACGCAAGGCTCCAAAATTTAGACCACAAAGAGGACTGGCAAAAATTGGCTGGGTTGTCATTCCTAGAAGAACAATCTCCTCTGAAGATTCACCAAATAAAAAGAAAAGACTTGGGAAGGAACATATACAATTCCTCACAATGACATTCTAGAATGCCTTTGGTATATTCTGAAGCTATGTTCTGAAGGTGAGGAGGGTCGTGCTGAGCACCGATATGCACCTTTAATGAGAATTCACTGGTCCTTCTCCCTCTGGAAAACTTCCACTCTACTGTGCATCCTTTCAAAATTATCTTGAGAACGGAGACTGAGGTTTGGTCCACTCATAATGGAGATTAGCCTTCCCTCAACTTGGCACTTCAGTGAAGCCTCAATATTTCCAGCTGTTGGGCCAAAGGGATCTGAAGTCCCAAGGCCTCTCACCAGGTTGGGGAAGGCTGTTATGAAGACAAATGATCAAAATATGTTAGGGGGCAGAGCAGCCTTCCCCTTGCATTACTGAATTATGGGGATGGTTGTTTATCCAGCTGGTCAATTGCAGTGGGAACTTATTGGGGGGAAAGAAGGATGGACTAGCTTGAAATTGCCATCATTTTAGGTGTGTTGATGATTCAGTATACACATACACAGTATTGTTGGCAATCATGAAAGCTCTCCTCAGCACCCATGGTGAAATCCTAATGATAAAGTTGGTAGCTAATTTGATTTTGTTTGATAACTGACATGTTGCAGTTGAGGTGTACTAGAACTTCTTGATCACAGAAACCCACTTTGCAGATATTCTCTTGTAATAAGGACCAATTCTCTGTTCCCAGCTGCGATGCAGATGATCCAATTTGCTTTGCTGTGAACTCAGGAGACAAGATAACTCAGCTATTTGATAGTTTAGTCACACGTACTGGTTGAGTGAATGTTCTGCGAGGAAGATGTCTGATCCATTCTGTTTGCATGCTTCTGTAATGAAGCATGGCTATTAAAATGTATCATTTATTTTAAAATATCTGCAAGACCACAGCTCTTTCAAGCTGAATAAAAATAGCAAGGGACACATAATGTATACTGACTGCATTCTAATTCCTGCCTCAGATAGTTTTAAAAACTTGGCTGAATATTTTCTTCTCAACTTGTCTCATCCTAAAACAAAAGAATGGGCATACAGTTTAGGACTCTGGTCTTCTTTAGTCCTGCAAATCTTGGGGAGGTTTGTACCTCGGGATTCAGTCAAGTCACTGCATGCATAACTCAAAAGACATCTTTCAAACCAAAAAGTGTATGATTTTTTTTATAAAAAAGTTGGGTTTATGGTGTGGTGTGAATCCAGACACTGTGGTTTATTCAGTAAACCAGAGTTTACCAAACTATGTTTTCATGGTACAAGTAAAAACAGGTTATTCAAGTCCTCCTTAAGTCCCATTGAATTCAGTGTCTAAACAAGCTCCATTATCTCGAATACCTCTAATATGAGTATTTATTCAGCAAAACTTTCAGCTGTACTGCACTCATCTGGGTGAGTAAGCCACTGACAGCAAGAAAAGTTGGGCAACTGATAGCTGTTCTTGGTCCAGCAAACCTGACATCCCTCATGGACGTGCTCAAGAGAACTCCTCAAAGGAATGGCAAGTTACTTTCTTATTTGTTGAATTATTATCTGAAAAATCAGCCTCACACCTCTCTCAATATTACTTGAAAAGAGTGAAGGAAGCTGGATGGATTTCCTCCATATGAGTTATAATAACCAACAGCTTGGTGGGGGGGTGGGGGGGTGTATGTGTACAGAATTGTATTTTTATTTTTTTCATCTGTTTTTATTTCGTTGAGTGCCCTTATTTTTTAGAAACATCCATTACTTGCTTATAATAAAAGCAATATAGTAGGGCTTTTGTAGTGGCCAGATACGTGTTCTTATACATAGCTATTTTTACCTCTTTGAATAAACATCCATTCCTCACAACAGGTCACAGTATCCTTCTAACAGCATTTGCACACCTTAAGATTTCCCTATCCATTTTTCCACCCTTAATGAACGTTCTATCAGAGGAGACAATTCATCTACTCGCTCTGGTTTTTCACCATTTATGAATATCTCCAGATCACTCAGTTTTCCCTGTCAAACTCAACAACTGTGATCTTTGATACATTCGTTTTCAGATCTTCATGCCTTCTACCATCATACAGTCATTGATTTTCTGCAACCCATAACATGGCATCATCTGCATACAGAAGTACCCATACATCCACATCCTTAACAACACACCTCTAAGGTCACCCCAAGCATTTCGCATACATTTAACCCAAAATACATTAAATCTCCAAAGGAGCATCACATAATCTTCTTCTGCTTCCTGTTCAACGCTGAACCATTTTCTGAGCAGTTCATTTATTCTCATGCACGCTCTGCTTCCATAATAAGCCACTTGTATCACATTCAGCAACCGACCTTCAACTCCATATTTGCACAAAAGTTCCATAATTCAAATCTATTCACTTTGCACACTTTCTCTAAATCAACAAAGCATGCAACAAATTTCTTCCCCATATTCATACTTGATGATTTGCTGAAAAGTAAAAAACCTAGTCTGTAGTTCCCTTGCCTGGCCTAACGTTGCCCTGGATTCCCCAAATTTTGCTTATTATCATCTTGTTCCATGTTTATTTATTTATTTTTCAAATTTATATACGCCGCCCGTCTCACTATACAACTCTGCTCCCCAGAATTCAACTCTGGTTCTTCCAGTATCATCAACCTATGGATTCCTATTTTCGTAGGCATTCACAACAACCCCAGCTCATACTTTTTCACCTCCATTTTAGCCCATTCATTTATAATCAAGCCTATATCTTCACTTCCCTGCAAATATTCAGCAATTCCACTCCAGAAGATCAGACCACATGTCTATTACATTTGCCTCTTTTTTCTTAGATTCATAACATATCTATTTTAATTTCTTCCATTTGTTCCTCCAAGAGCTTTACTATTTGTTCCTCTTATATTCAAAGTCACGATCATTGATTGAGCAATCAACACATAACACCTTTTAGGTTACCACTAAAGGTTACCACTTTAATCATACTTGTGATGTATTCACTATTCCTTGCAAATGGCAAGGACAATACCATTGAATTTGGGCACATTTTGGCCAATATGTAAAAAGGAAAACCAAAGCCCAGGTTTACTGAAAGTATGCTCACACTATTCTATGCAAGCTAGGATCTCTAATCTACCTTGCAAGTCAACATCCTATGGCTTGCATCCTACCACCTAGGGGTTACATGCAGTGCACGTACATACACACTCACAGAATCTTGCAAAACAGAAATTCAACCCCCTGAAAGATGAACTCATACTATTTACTACCCCATTCTCGCTGTACATGCTGCAAAAGTAACCCAGGCCATGCCTGGATAAAATATTTTCTCCCCGTTTAGGATTCTGGCAGGTAGGAAGAGATCAGATTGGAGGTCACATATGGAGATTTGACCTTGCAGTTCCTTTTCAGTCCTGGAGCTGATGACATTCCAAGGGAGATGGTGGCCTCTTTGTTTTTGAATTCAGCAGGTATTGCCACATTTGTGACTCTGTGGTTCCTTTCTTTGGGCACCGTTCTGCCATGCCCTCCCATTTGCCGTCTCTGCTCCATATATGCGGTTGAATGCGAGGAGGTTTCTTCACTCCAAGATGGTGAGTATCTCCAGTGCACCTTTTGGCTGTTACTTTCTCATCCCGCTGTTGCCATCAACAGATAACTTAGGGCCTATTATCATGCCATAGTGGTAGTACATATGTAAGAGTTTCTGGTTAGAGGCATCTAGGAATGGCCACTTAGGCCCGATTAAACAAGTTCAGGCAACAGTTTGAACTCACTATTCTTGCCAAACTACTGTCAATTAAGCCCTACTGAATGCAGTGAGACTGGTTTTTGATGACAGGACTATGCAATGAAAAAGCAATACTTATATAAGACTTAGTAAGTGCTGGAGTTCCATCAGCTGAAAAAAAAACATCCTTTGATAATGAAAGGAGGACAAGTTTCCTTATGATTTTATCAGGATCTGCTGAATAGAGTTGCTTCACCTTTGCCAGTGTTTATCCACTTGGGAAAATCAATTACTACAAGAGAATTAGAACAAGTTATGCACACCCACACCCAAACCCTGCAACGAATGTAGTACATTTTATTTATTGGTTAAAAGACTGATAAACCAGTCTCCCAGAATCACCGTAACGTCCACTCACCCATTTGGAGAAAAGGAACACCATTCTGAGCAAATCTAGGTTAGAATGCTGTGAGTTAGTATCAGAGTTGGTTCCAAAGTTAGTTCCATTCAGCGTACGTCAGATTTAATCATTAGCCAATTTGCTGAGGTTGGCAGTTTTGGTGTGCATAATTGATACTCCCTTTTGGAATTGTTACTACAAACAGCAGCATGTATAAGCGTCATTCTAGAGTGGGAGGAATCTAGATTTAGTTCCTTCTGCTCCCCTTCCCAACAACTTCATTTTATATTGCAGAATGTGCATCTCTCCCCAGATGTTTTCAGAAATCAAAACATTATTCCCCCACCCCACACTTGTTATTTTCATTCTAAATGTCTCCTGTTTTCCCTCTCCACCATTTCCAGTCTTAATAGCCTTGCCAAGTTCCACCCAGCAGATCCTTCTACGGCAAGGGAACCTTAGTGAGATACCTCCTCTGGCTTTCAGTAATTTCACCAATCTTCATTTCTTGTCAATCACTGGATTCGTAGTCTCCTCATTGGCTGACCTCACCTTTTTTATACCTTATGTCAACTACCTGAAGATTCTGGATCTCAGCAACAACCAACTGCTCAGTTGCACAGTTGAGCCCCTGGCTTTCTCAGGTCTTCTGTATCTCGAAGAGTTGATTCTAACCAACAACAGCTTGGACATTTTGAGGAGGACGTGGTTCTTGGAAATGCCAGGACTCAGCAAACTCTTCCTTGCCATTAACAGAATCACATACCTTCCCCCAAGGACATTTGAGAACTTAAACAAGCTTGACGAACTGGTGGTCTCCTCCAATATGATTCAATATCTCCCCATGGATGCTTTTTTTGGTTTGTTTTCATTGACCAAGCTGGATTTATCAAGTAATAAAATCCTCTTCATCAACGATGAAGCCTTCCAACCGTTGCAAGCACTCAAGTATCTCTTGTTATTCCAGAACAGACTGACCACCTTGCCAGGTCTCCCTAATTCCATCACTTTCCTGTTTCTTCACAGAAATCCCTGGGTTTGCAACTGTCAGCTGATCCACTCTATGGAATTAATGCAGGCTAAAATCCAATCGCCTGCTGGGGTCACTTGCAAAAGACCTCCCTTTCTTGCAGGACACCCAGTGACAAGAAGCAAGCTTCTGGGATGTACTTCATCACCCTCTAGTGATTTGTCTTCCTCTCTGTTCTCAACCATCAACTTTCTACCCTCAAATTCAGGAAACGTCAAGCTGATCTATAGTTTGCTAGGTAATGCATTCAGAATATGCACATAAAGTTCATTTAACTAGTGATAAATCTGATTTACATGGGCTGATTGCAATGCTTTCCATTGATTAATCCAGCCTGAGGGTAGGCAATCTCCTGATGCTTTGAACTTTCAAATTCCCATGACCAGCGGGTAGAGATTATGGGGTACCATTTGGGGAAGTATTTCCCAAGTATCATTCACAACTAGTTTTCTCCAGATTTCTAGAGACAGAAAGCCAGTGTGATTTAATGGGTAGAGCAGCTGGGCATATGCCAGAGGTTTTGACCCACCACTCCCATCCTTCTGATTACAAGTAGTCCTCGTTTAGTGACTGCCTTGTTTAGTGACCATTCAGTTACAACGGAGATGAAAAAGTAACTTTATGACAAATCCTTGCATTTACAACCTTTGCAGATCTGTAAAGCAAAGCTGAAGTAAGATCATAAGCACAGTCATGGTTTTACTTAGCGGCTGCTTTGCTTAACAACTGAGTTGCCAGTTCCAATTGTGGTCGGTAAATGAAGATTATCTGTGTTGGTTACCCTAGCTGAGACTGATGGGAGTGATAACCCAACATCCAAGTTCTCTATCCATGATGTGCTTAATGTTGCTCAGTAGAGACATAAAGAAAGCACAGACACACCAATGTATTAATTAGCCCCTAAGCATTTGCTTTTTCTGTTTTCTTTTTTGTCTGTGCAGGAGGGTTTTTCCTTGGTTTAACTGCAGGTCTGTTCTGCTGTTATTGCCTCCCGAAATGCTGCAGTTGCCCACGCTCTGCAAACCAGCCAAAGCATGAAAAGACTTTTTCGAGCAACTGGGTAAAACCTTCCGCGAATGAAGAAGAGAAGTCTTCTGAGAGGGACTCCCAGATCCTTTGCAGCCTTCCGGTTGCACAGAGCTCAGCCATGGCTTTTGAAGGGGGCCACATTGAGAGAGGAACCTGCTGTGGGCAGTTGGGCTGTGCTTCCCAAATTTGCTACACGGAGCAGGTGAGATTCCAGAGACCGCTGGTTGCCTATTTATCCTTGGATGCAATGGGTCGAAGCATTGTGACTCTCTGTGAGAAAGGAAATAAAGCAAGATGTCCAGTCTTCAGCCAGCCCTGCTGTCAAGCTCCCAGGGAAAACACTGAGAGGGTGACTGAGGTCTCTGGGGATGGTGGCAATCAAGAGCAACATTGCACCAAATGCATGCATGGGTTAAATGGTTCCTGTGTCCTACCCACAGCTATGGATCAGATAGAGAGGAAGCAATCAGGTGAGTGACTCAATTGCAAAAAAATCAAAAATTACACACACTTTCCTGGCAGATTTTCTCCAAACAGAAAGAACAGAAGAAGTTGGGTTCATAGAATCATAGAATGGAAGGGTTGGAAGGTATCTCGGAGATCATATTGTTCAACCCCTGCCTAAATCATTTACATTTCCAGTATTCAGGCGAAAGTGCTAATCATTATACAAATGGCACATACCCCCACAAAAAGCGCTGGTTGAGCCCTGCCTTGTCACAACCAAATTGTTGGCAATAGGCCAGACCTGGTTTTCATGGTCTGGAATATACCAGGACTGATTTGTGCTCAGTGCTATGCAACGGATATGGACGTGTCTAGTTCCAGATGCGGGAGAAAAGCATGATGCAGTAGAACCCATCAGAATTCTCCATAACCCAGCAAAGAAATGGCTAAAACATAATTTAGAACATCATCTGGGGCAATGTCACAGGCTCTGCTTTTCCATACCATGCTATTATTTATTCCAGGGCTGGGACAGCAAGTGGACACCCAGATGTATGGACAAACTTTGCACCCAAAGATTCACCTTAGGGACACCCCGCCTCTGCAGGCACTAGTCCATATAGATTTCCCTGACGGAAGTGCCATGAAGATCAAGCAAAACAGAGCCACTTCTTGTAAGTCTCCTCCCAAGATGAATGAGTCTCATCAGAGCAGAAGTCACATCCAGGCTTCTCCCTGTTGGTCGAGGAGAAAGAGGGACAACCATGGACAACCCCATCATCACTCCCAAGCTGGCTTCACATCTCCTGAAAACCACACAGGCTCTGATGTGAGGCCATGGCAAGCAAGTTGGACTGGGGGAAAGGATCCAAGGAGGCCAGATCTTTATCTGTCCTTTGCAAGCAAACCCAATAAAAGCCAGAGATGGAAGCACTTGTGTCCACATCCAACCCACGAGGTGACAACCACCCCATCCCTTTCTAGCATATCCAGCCAGCCAGAAGCTAAGAAGTTTCACTACTTGAAGGAACCCTGTCCTGAGTGGTTCTCTGTTACTCATCCTGGGAAAAGAGCACGATCATGTCCATATTTAGATAAAACTCCACTAGCTGGAGAAATGATTCTCACCCACAGGAAATCCAGGAGCAGGCAAGAAGACCCAGTCACTTCTTTTACCAGAAATGGGTCCACTCTAAGCAGGATCTGGAAATGCCAAAACTGTGGCTGGGAAGGGTCTGTTCCATGTTCCATAAACCAAAGGAGACTTGCTCAACCAGGCGTTGTCCCAAGATGCTCCAGGACATTTCTAGATGCCAGTACCCAATGGTCCTCTACTGATGCAGTCCACCTTAAAGGTAACATACCAACTGTGTTCCCGCAATGCAAATAACGTGGTTACCAGTTTAACCCATTTTTCTCAGTTCACAAATACTATGAACCCAGATGGGTTGGGTGGCCAAATATTCTCTGATATAACCCAAATCCCTAATCAAGTTAAAACTAACCATCTTTTCCTTTTTTGCAAATGGCTGGTTCTTCACCCAACCTGGTTAAGCATATTGCATGAATACCGCAAATGAGTGTTAACATTTTTTAATGTCTTGAGCAGATATTTTTTTAAGATGCATCCCACAGAACCCCCCCTTCCCAATAATTACAGTTCTAGCACTCAACCTCAAATTATGTCATGATGTGAGTGCAATTTATTTTTGCTATTTTTAAAAAAATATATATGCATCAAATCTCGGATAGGTTTAACATCTCTGTTTCATTATAGTTGCCCCAAAGGCTCCAAAAATAGCAAAGAAAGGACAAAAACTAATTTTGGATTTTATACATTGTCTATAGACCTACCTGAGTGATTACTAACTCCCATAAATAAACAACTCTAGCTGTGTCCCTTCTGCTGATCTTCTTGCATCTCTTCTTGTCCTGCAACTACTGCAACCAATAGTGGTAATACAAGTCTTTAGTTGCCAATATATTATCCTCCTTTGATTGTTCCTTTCTTTGTCTGTTTATCATTGACAAGTAGCATCGTTCTACTGTCCTCTGATAATATCTGGTAAAATAAGATAAGTGATGTGACTTCATCCCACAGTGCCATAACATTTTTCTTTTCTTCTTTGTGAACAAAGAAGAAAAAGACCCAAAATGGTTGCCGTTAAGGTTGAAAACCATTTTTCAAACTCAGAAAACTACAACGCCTAACTGCCCCAGCCAATAAGGCCAAGAGTGAGGAATGATGGCTGCTATAGTTAGCAACATCTGGAGGAAGGCAAGATCTTTACCCCGCAAAAAGCAATGATCCTCTTTGAAATATTGTTGGGCAAAAGCAATAATCTTAATGTGCTTTCCCCCTTGATTTTGCAGAAAGTAAAGTTGCCCTAACTTTTCTGGGTGTTCCACACAATGTTGCAAAGACGCTATCAGAAGAACGTTGGTTAGCTGCTTGTTTCCCAGGCTATCAACCCACCTCTGCCCTAACTAATCACGCAGGGGATATTGATTCCATTTATGAATATCCTTCTCCACTGGTCAGCACAACACTCAACACAGCCGCCTCATTTGTTGAGATGACCGCAACAGAGCCAACACTGAAGAATCAGAACCAGGGAATGGATTTCCTGCAGATTCGAGAAACAACACCCGTGGCCGTCACTGATCACTCGGTGGACCTATTGCCTCCAAATAGGATGGGTATCAGAGGCTTGAGTGAAGAAACCCAGTATCCGGAATCACTGTTGGAGACTATTGTAGTGGGCACGGAGCAATCTTCAGAGGAAGGTGAAAAGGATGTGGTGAGCCTATCTTCCAATGCTAGTGGTTACTTTTTCAGAACAGGCACAAATCCATCTTTGCAGGAGTTGCCTGTCTCCATCACGAGGTCCAGTAAAGTCACCTTCTCAGACACTTCAAGACGTATCAGTCAAAAGACTCCAAGCATCACATCCATTTGCCCTTTGGTTCAAAAGATGTACCAGATTGATTTTCCCCTTCCAGTTGAGGAGGAGGCCAAACCAAGTTCAAGGTGATGGGTCACTAACCCAATAAACACCTCTCAGGAAAGATTAGAAAGAGGCTGTTCAAACCTTAGTTGGTTTGCTCCCCAATCTGCTTTGTATTTCTGCTTGAATAAAGGTTTGGTTGAAGATCAAAAAGCTCTAATTTCTTCTGTGATTGGAAAGGGAGCGGCCCTAAACATTTATGGGCAAATAACCTGCATGAGATAGCTGCCTCACCCAGTGAATGATAGGACTGTCCCAGCTCAGTTTTCAAAATGAGTTCTAGCAAGCTTTGGATTAATATTGATGTTATTTGTTTTTAAGATGTTTCATTTAGTTCCCATCTTTTAAGTTATCTGCAGAGCCTTTAATTCCTGTAAAGTCATTCAATTACCAAATAGCACTTTTGACCAAAAACATTTTCTTCCATTATATTTCAGACTCCATTTTAGAGGAATATTGGACCAAAAAAAAAAAAATTATTCAAAGCACCACCATATTCTCTTCTGTTTTTATACAGGCCTTAAAAAAAAAAAAGTTAAGGATTTCTTTTTTAAAGACAAAATATAGTATTCTATTAATTCCAAGCTTTCCAGAACTACATTCAAAAAATGAAGAATGAAAATATTTAGGTAATTACAATGTAGACAGCAACTCTTCAAAAAATAATGTTGACTTTTTTTTCTTTTTTATTGCCATTTGCTTTTGTTGCAGCAGTTGTTCAAACAAATAAAAAAGTCTTTAGATGAAAAAAAAATATATTTAGGGCCAAGAAATTCCATTTCTGAAAGAGGGGTACATACTGAAGTCAAGCTTGCTTAAATACAATATAAATACTTTTTCTGTGGATGCTGAAAACCTTACATCATTAGGGATCAAATCACTTGGTTCAGTGAAACAGCTTCCAAAAGAAGCTCTTTAACCGAGCACATTGTAAATAAATATTCTTCATTTTAGGAACATCCAGTTGGCAGGAATACTATAAAAATAAAGTATTTATTTTACATAGGTTGTTAATTCAAAAGGAATAGAAAAACTAAACGCTCTGATCCATTAACTGTACTGAAACATGTTTTCCCCTTTTTTTACCTCATTAAGATGTAAATTTACACAGTAGAAGTAGTTTCATATAAAGACAGAAGGAAGGGAAGGAAAACGTTGGGTAGAGATGTACTACCTTATTTAAGATGCCATTTTATAAAATGGAGGGAGGGACAATGAGCTTGAATTTTGGTAGTCATGTTGGTCCCTTAAAAAGAGAAATCAACGGCCGAGAAGAACAAATTCCATGTAGCCAGCTTTAGACATCCAGGAGTGAGAGGTAAGATCTGACATTTTTATCTAGCCCTGAGTGAGCTCTACCCACTTTTATCCTGACATGGTCCATAACTGCCTTCAGTTTTGCTCAGAAAGAAAACAAAACATTATTGAATTACATCCAAATAAATTATTGTACGTCAGGGATTACAGCCGTTTTTTCCTTACCTTTTCTTAGGGTCACCACAATAATGTAGACACACAACTCCTGACATCATTCAGCCTGTGCCATGCAATACATTTTTTTTTCCTACACATATCACAGAAAACTGGTGTAGTCCCAACTCAGAGCATGGAAAAATTTGGTATCTCTACTTACAGAAACACATCCAACATTTTGAATTTGGCCACCAGAAGATCTTCAAATAGATTCCCTACCCTCTGTTTCACAGACCAGTGTTCTGTATAAAATGCCCCATTCAACAACATTCTTTCTAATAGAGTGAGGGCTTCATTACCAAGCGGAGCGAGAGCCCCTCTTCACATTTCGAGATCTTGTTCACATATGACATTCGTTTGGTTTTGTCCTAGGGCAGTAGGTGAACCCAGCCAATATGATTTGAGGACAATGTTCTGCGAAGCCAACTAATTTTCACTTAATAATTATGGGTTGTACAACAGGGGAGCAAACCAATGCCAAGGATTTCCAGTTGTCTTGTGGCAATTCCAATTTTGATGCAACTGTAAGCATGGTGAATCTGACTGGACTAGGATAAGGCAATTCCCTTACGTTTTTAGGAGCTTTGAGTCTGTCAGATGTCTTGAACTTTTCATAATTCCTTCTCCTTGGTTCCATTACTGACCATTCTTGAAGTTGAAATTCCCCCACCTGAATGGGGATGCCCTCTTGGAAAGGTCTGTTGTGTGCCCTTGATGTCTCATCCACCCACCAACTTTTTATTTCAGAGATTGGATGGGATTCCCTGAGCAGATGTTTGAGCCTCCTAAAATGGTCAGTGGGTCTTTACTGAGTTTGGGTCTACCCGACTACCTTTGAAAGGAAGGTGCAACACGACAACACACCCACATATCAATCAGTTGAAAGAAAAATAATTCAGCAAACCACAGCTGTGTTCATACAACACACTTAACCTGGTTATTGAACTAATTCATTTAACTGAGGTTGCATGAGACTTTATGAATCATAAAGTCACCAGGTGGGCTCCATGTGCACATGGGGACATATTACCGAAAAATGAAATGAACCAAACCTATCGTGCCATGTGAATGCCGCCACTTCGTTTTGCCACTGACCTCGTGAACTGTGCTGTGTGAACAGAGGCTCTAAGTCTTGTCATTCTTCTGCTTTGCTGAGCTTGGTCTTGCTTCTGAACCAGATGGATGAGGCTTCTACTATGTCACAGGAGTCACATGCAAGCCCCTGTGGTTTATGCCAATGAAGACATTTTCACAACTTGTGGTACATTTTTAATTGTTTTCCCCCACCCCAACAATCCCTCTGAAATAACAATAGAAAAGGTTAAAACCAAGTGGCGTACGAATCGTCCATCAACAAGAGGAGCTGAGTTCTCTTTTGTTCTAGACTACTCCAGCCACTTGGAGGCCTTTTGGAGAAGAACCCAGAACCAGACCGGGAACGGGGTCATTCATATCAGCTGTGCAGATCCTGAATCCAGGGTCCAGCTGAACAGTCATCTTTTTAACCTGCTCAAGGCAAAGTCCAGTGGATGTCATCCTTCTTCCCCTTCTGCTAAGTTTATTGATAATTGTGATGTAGTTCCATGCATGAACAAGGAGATGTATTCCGTGCAGGAAGAGGGAGCAGCTCAGAGCTGTGTCTCATCTCGAGTTTCGGGGTTCGGATTCTTACTACAGCTGCTCTTTCGACTGTGACCTTCATTTTCCACATGTGCTAGGGGGTCAGGCCGTATTAAATACCTGGGGAGAAAGGAAGATGTTGCCTATGGCTGAACTGCTCAGTTTACTCTCTTGATGTGGTTGGTAGCATCAAGGTTCTTCAGTGCTGACCTGGATGATCCATGGTTCAGGAACCTCTCTCACCCAAGGCAGCCAACATCTTGTGAGACTTCATGGGATTAAAAAGCATCAATAAAAGGGCTATAATTTAATTTTGAGGTCTCACTGAAAGCACCTGGGTGGTGATCACACATGCCAAAGCATCTGTGGGCACAATGCTACTGACTCACACAGTGATTTTCTAAAGCTTTCACAGATGACCTAAATGGTCCAGCATAAAAAAAAAGACTGGGAAATTGCTTTGATGGAGGATTTTGAATTCAAAATCACCAAGTTCCTCCATTACATTAGGAAGCTTTTTAACCTTGATGCTGGCCAGCATTTGGGAATTCAAGCTAGGGGTGGACGAGAAATCAGTAAGGTGTGTGTTGTCACAGGAACCTCTCACATTTTTGCTTTCTGAAATATGTGAGCCGGTATGCAATGACTTCAGTATACTTTTGGATTTTTGTAGCACAATTACGGTTTAAAATGAACAGCAACAACAGTAACAACAAATTCAGGAAAATTGCATGCATTTGGGAAAACAGGGTACAAGAAGACATATATTCTTGTAGAAGAGTGGCAAAGAATTTATGAATAGTAGGAACCAATGCATGGGAAAAAAACTTCACATGGGTTCATCTAAGGTTATAAACAAATTAAATCAGTGTGGAAAAGGATTAAATCCCAGTTTTAAAAATGTGAACATTAAAGAACGATCGTCTATCCTTAATTAAAGCTGGCCCCTTGGAAAAAGAGACATTCTAAACCTTGCCCCAGCATTACCCACTGGTTGGGAAGCAAGCAAATGATTCCTTCTGTGCCTAGCTCACATGCAACCCCATTCTGCAAGCCCCTTTACTGGACATAATATACTGAATTAATTTCATACGTACACTATATCGTTGAGTTCTAGCCGCGTGTCCGGAGGAGGATTGATGAGAACATAGGAGAGTGTATTTTGGTGATCGTTCATCTCATCTGGAAGACAAAAATGTGGTCAAGTGGGCATCTGGTCAGGCAGAACAGCAGTTAGCAGCTGAACAGTGGGAAACCTTTGGGGCCATGGAATCCTCTGAATATCTCAACTGTAAGTAGGTCCTAGTTATTTCTGTGCCTCGTTCCTGTCTATCACCAGTAGCCCCAGGCTCAAGGATAAGACAGGGTCAAAGGGAGCTGCCCCCTTGTTTTGCATTCAGAATGCAGCCAGTTTTGCTTTAGGGCACATCCCCTCCCCAGAGGGAAGTGACACGGTCATTATTGCTTGGTGAATCTGAGAAATGGGTAGACTGCCTGTGATAGGATGCTCCACACTGAAGCTGGGGACGAAAACAGGATGGGATAATGAAGTTGGTGGTTGATGTATCAGAATGGCGCAGTTTCTCAGGCACAGCAACAGGGATAAAAAAAGCTTGCAGTTCTCTGCTACTTAAGGTCAGCCAACTTTGATCTTACAGACATCTTTCAAACCCACACAGTTGGATAATTACATTCTAAATAGAATCTTACACATACTGGCAAGTCACACTCCTGCATATGGAACCCCTTGGTTCTCTCCAGAAACATCTTGGGGAAGGTTATTGATAGAAATGCCTACTGCCACTTTCCCAAAATTTAAGATCAACATGGGTTGCTACCTCCATTCCTGCACAGAGCTGTTCTGCTAAGGGGTGGGCGGAGTGGGGTCTTTGGAATCAGAAGCTATACTCAGGGTCTAGTGAAAAGTGGAAGAGAGATGTGTCAGCTACCACTTCCCCAATCAGAGTAGATTGCATTCATAAGCTTTCCATTGCCAACCTCCTTCAAAAGGTTCATTAGGACCCTAACCAAATTCTTAACCCTATTTCTCTCTGGAGGTTTTATATGGCTGGGTGATGCTAGAAGAAACTCTAAGTGATTAGTGAAACCAGCTCTACTGAGATGGATTCAAAAGAGCTTACTTCTAAATAAGCATTGCAGCCTAATTCTCCCAAATAAGAATAAGAATAATACATCCCCCAAAGTTTAATTTAAACATAGAGACAGGGCAAGCATAAGCTGGTAGGATTGAGAGGGAGCCAGAATGGACATATGGTGATGCTGGGTGATGAATCCCTTGCAGGATTTGTGCATCTACAGACAGAACTCCGTAGCTTAAGAGGAAGCTGGGCCTCTTCTCCAAAAATTCTCACTGGCCACAGTTGAGTTACTGGACACTGGAAACAGCGTATGGCAAGTCAAACCAATGGTCCAGTACTGTCAACAGTGGAAGGGTTTTTTCCCAACTCTTCCTGAAGATGCTCAGGATGAAAAATCAGGGGTTTGGGCTCAGATTATCAAGACAGTTCTGGTAGGGTTATGTGGCTGACTGATTTGGTTGCTCTTAGGCCCACAAGTCACAGAAGGCAGACAAAGAACTGATTAAGATTTATCATGGTCTTTACAAAGAGCATCCAATGCTAATCCAACTCTTTTCTCTCCTCTGATCTACAGAGATGGGCGTTCATACCCAATTGCCCTTTATGATTAACGGAAGCTGTTCCTTTGTGGTTAAAGAACTGGGTGGAAGAGAGAGATGTCAACAGGAGTGGGCACCCTTTGCATTGACCAACTGGCTTCCTTTGTACGGTTTCCTGAAACCCAACTGTGCCTCAACCCTCAATTGCTTTTCAACCTGCCTTCCCAGTCTTTAGATCTAGAAAGGTTAGCTGAGTTTCTCAAAGATGTGACACATTGTCCTGTTATTAGGGTTATGAGATTTGGGCTGCCAAAATCCATTGGAGACAGAGAGAGACAGAAAACCCTCTTCTTGTGGTCATCTGGGACTGGATTTCTATAGGTCAGATTTGATCGTCCCCCTATGACTAACCATTAAGACTAGGAACTGGGACTTTGGTTCAAGATGATGCAATTGGCTAGATTTCCCAGCCTCTCCACTTTGCTGAGCCTGGAAAATACTGACAATATTCCATGCTTTCCTGAAAATGAAGCCCACAGTGAAGGCCAGTTCAACAAGACTCAGGTGAGATGAGAGCCAAAAGATTTGCTACATATGGTAGGCTTCAGGGCTTAAGATCTGCGTGAAAGCCATCCGTCCTAGCACATGGAATTCAGACAAAGTATAATGAATCCCATAAGTGTACTGCTACATTGTAATTTGCCTTTTAAGGTCAATTTAGTTTATATAAATCTGAGCTATATTGGACATTTCCAAAGCTGGCTGTATCAGAAAAGATAGGGGCACTGGAAGATAGATGGAGATCAAGTAATCATTGACTCAGTTTTAGGAGGCTTTGATTAATGGACTGCCAGCTCCACAGACCATTGAGCTTTGTGGGTTAAACTTTGCAGCAAATGCTCTTTCCATTCATGGCTCCTTAACTGTTCAGAAAACGTCTCTTCCACGGAGAGTTATTAAATGGCAGCCTTGCATTACATTTCCAAGGTGAAGTTAATGGCTAAACTGCAACCCTCTTACCAAGAAGCTAGTTTGGGGTGGAGGGAAGAGTACTTCATTTCATACCCAGTTGCGATGAACTGAAGAACCTTAGCTACGTTGACAGCCATCAGAACATTGCCTTTCCCCCAGAAAGAAATCAGAGTAAAACCATGGTTGGTTTGCTCAGATGGTTTGGATCCTGCATGAAATTAAGATAAAAACCCATGCCACTTGCACAAGGTTTTCAGCCAATTGCTATATATCTCAGGCCATTTCAGATTCAGGATACCTCTCCACCCCCCACCCCCCAATAAACTTAAAATCTTGCAAGAACGTCACTCCCAAGGATTTGGTGAGCAAACTGAAAACGGCAACATTTGAGCCATTTTCAACATGTTTAATATTTAAAAATAAATTATGGAGGCCTGCTGACACCTTCTAGAATACTAACTCTATTTTATTTATTTCTTAGATCTATATCCTTTTCCTGTAACATCAAGGTGATGCAAGCAGCTCTTTTTCTGCCACAATAACAGCCCTGGGGAACAGATTGGGAAGGGAGAAGAATCAAGCCAAAGTGAGCTTCCATGGCTGAGGATGACTTTGAACCTGGGTCTCCCCAGTCCTGGTGCATCATCTTCACTACTACACCACACTGCCTCTCTTTGTTTCCAATGAGGAATCTAAAGCAGATGTGATCCAATCCAATTCTTAATAGGTGAGGTTGCCCCTATTTCTATGTCTTCATCTACCTATCATAGAGAAAATCAATCTATCTGTGTGGTTGCTAGGAGTCAAAAACGACTTGATGGCACTCAATCAATCATCAATCAATCAATCAACCTAATTTTCCAGGAGCCATTTCCACCACTGGAACATTCCATTCAACCCAGACTGAATGTATTTTATGCACGTAGTCAGTTTCCATAATTGTGAACCTGGATTACATTCACACCACAAGTTCAGCCTGGTTATGGAAGTAACCCATTTTCCTGGTTTGCATAAGACATTGCATCATAGACTAACTAAGCAGGCTGGGTTTGCCAACAAGCTAAGCCACAAAAAAGTTCACCACAGTTACACTGACCAAGTGAACACCGTTCACCTAGTAAACACACTTTGGGAACACAGCTGTGCTATCTGTGGTGTCATGTACCTCTTAAGGAACCCCTTTAATGAGAATGTCTCTGATTATTTGCCTGGTGTGGGGTGGGACAGGGTACTGTTTATTATTTCTGCATTCAAGGAGACACCTTAAATATACACCCTGCAGTGTTTTAATCTTGCTAGCTCCCTTGGCTTCTGTTTCATATCAACCCAGAATGGCATTTTCCACAGAGGTGTTTACCCAAGGGTTTAACGGGCCACGTCTTTGTTACGCTACTATGCCATGAGTCAAGCCTGACTCTGAGAGGAAAAGAGATTTTACCTTGCAAATATCCAAGGTTTACACGATTCATCACATCACAGGCTGTTAAATTTGCTACATCCTCTACGGAACACACAGAGAAAGAAAGAAAGAAAGAAAGAAAGAAAGAAAGAAAGAAAGAAAGAAAGAAAGAAAGAAAGAAAGAAAGAAAGAAAGAAAGAAAGAAAGAGACAGAAATCAAATAGAAGAAAGGGAAGGAGGAAAAAAAGAGAAGAGGACAACACAGCACAGACATAAATGGAGAGAAAAAGAAGAGAAAAATCAGCAAGCAGTGATTCAGAAAGTATTCAGAAACCAGATTCGGTGGTCACATGGGCAAAATAATGGAGTCAAAAGTATATACGTACATATGTGCTTAAAAAGAAGAGCAAGCAAATAAAAAGGAAGCCAGAACTCATGATATTGCATGAATTAGATGCTAACAGGTGACATGGCATAAAAATGGGATCCAATAGAAGAGAGTCTCTGTAGCTCAGGGTTGAACTGTAGAGTCCTTGGTGCTCTCTGAGCTGGGTGGGCGTCTTGCAGATGTTTCATTACCTGGCTAGGTAGCACCATCAGTACTAGCGAGCAATTAGCACTGAGAGGAGCACCGATGATGTTCCCTAGTCGGGTCATGAGATGTCTGCAGGCCAACCACCAAGCTCAGAGAACATCAAGGACTCCATAAAAATGGGTTTCAGACAATCTCACTGAGACAAGATTGATTAGAGAACCATCTTTGATCATCTCTTCTACTGCCCTTATTAAACCTTGATCGGGTCTTGAGAGTTCGGTTTACAGGTTTTGTGCCAATGGATTTTTCAGTCCTTGTAAATGTTTGGTGATTCCATGCCATCCATTTTCAGCTACAGACATCCTAGCTAAGGGTCCAGGTTTCTTCTGAATTACATTTCAGTGAATTTGCCTAATCCAGGCCCAGTTAAGCCCTGGATGCAGACCTTGTTAAAGGTCCCCTTTCCTTGCTTCTCCCAACCTGTTTCCTACTTGTGAGGAGATACTGAGGAAATTCAGAAAGGAATTGCAAAGAGTCATCAACACTTTAGCACCACCAAACCATCAACTTTTGCCTATTTCAAGAAGTATAACCAAGCAAATTGGCAAGGACCCAACATGTGTAAATATCTCCAGGAGCTTTTGATGAATGGGACTTTGTTATGCATGAACCCTGGAAAAGAGATTATTCGCTATGGAGCAAGCTAGCCCCACAGCTCTTTGCAAGAAAGCTTTCTTAGTTTTGCTTGAGGTGGCAATCCCTTGCATGATGCAACCTTTTCTTCAAAATAAGTGGCCCAATTTGTTCTAAGTTTCTTCCTCCTTTTGGGGGCATCCAGAAAGTTTCAAAATTCTTGGTTATCCAGGGAAAAGCCAATGATTCCGTTTTGCATGGCCCAATTTGGGGGAAAGACCTTACAGGCAAGGGAACTCAGGACACCATGTCTTTGATAGCAAAGGTGGAGGCGTGCATACAGCAGCAGATGGCATAAAATAATTCTGCAAAGGAAAGGAAAAAAGGCAAACCAAAAAATTGGAATGAAAAGTTGTTCATCATAACAAAAAAGAAAGAGAAACTCTTCTGTTTTTCTGAGATCTCTAACTTACAGTACTTTCATATAGTTTCACTCATGCTTATATTATATTGGCGATGTGAAGATTCAGAGGCCAAAACATGGAAACATTAAAAGAACACCTTATTTTTCTGATTTCTCTCTCTCTCTTTTTTCCCCTGGATCTTCACATCTCTATGTCACACTGATCCTACAATTTCTTTTCAGGTTTTATTAGTGGATGTCAAGGAAAGTCTTAAGACTTGATAAGGTTTCCCAAACTCCCTGCCTGTGGAATGTGAATGATGAAATGCACATGAAATGCAGATGACAGAATCAGACCATTGTGATCTTTGGGTGAAAACAGTCTGAATACAAGAAAACACAATCTTTTCTTTTAAATTCACCCATTTCTCTTCCACCCACCCCGGAATTCACTGGCTGCATTCACACACAACATGCTTAACCTAGTTATGAAAGTAGTCCATCTTCTGAATTTGCACCATCCATTGAACTATAAACAAATCAAGGAAACTGGATTTGTACAACCCTCTAAGCCATTAACCAGGATTAACACTCACCAAGCTTAGCATGTAGAGCAACGACATATGCTAGGTTTCTATTCGAGCTGAATGTTGTGTGAACACGGCCAATAAAACACCCATGTAAACTCCTTGGTGAAATTCTTCTACCTACCATGCTTGATCAATGCAGATTCAGGAAAAAGTGCCTCACCACACTTCTTACCATCTTCTCTCTCCTTAGCTAATATGGGTCCATAAAATGAAGCAAAAACCAAGAGTGCCATGAAGCTCATGATAGGTCTGTTTTCATTTTTAATTAATTAATTAAATTTATTTTAAGGAGCAAGGCAGCTTTCCAGAGTAAGTATTTCGAACCAGTCTGTGGTCTAAAAAGAACCAGTGAATGCTTTGGCAATGCACTGGATCGTTCCCCAAGATTGCAGGAAATCCTTGCAAGATTTAAGGAACCGTCTCCGAATCAAAATCCTTGCCGCAGGTGACCATCACCATTTTTCTTAGGAACCAGACCCAACAGTACTTCAGGTGACATCCTCCCAAACTGTGCAAAAATGTTTTTTTGCTAGAACTCAATGTATCCTATTTTAAATTGATATTGCACGCTCTCCATTCCCCCACAATTAAGAAAATTAATGGAGACTTGCCTTTGGTTTCCCCCACTTAGAAATCCTTCTCTGCTTTAAATTGGACACAATTATATCTCCACTGCTGGAGATAAAATTCCATTCTGAAAAACGAAAAGCATTTTTGTCTTTGGGAAATCAGAGAAATATCAGCAGCTTCAGCCAGTCAGAATACGAAAGGGTGCCTAAGTGTAACCAGCAGTTGGATCTGATAAAATCCTTTTCTTAAGTGACAAAAAGAAAAATTAAGAACTGGCAGCTCCATTTTTTCCCCTTTTCCCACCTCCTTTATAGCATTTCTCTCTTTTTTTTTTCCCAGTGGTAGAACTGCAAATATTTATCTGGATCAGCTCTTCTAGAAGCTGCTGCTGCTGCATCTTTCAGGCTGAAGGACGGGGCGTAATGCTTTAAGCCAGTGTTTTTCAAGCCTGACCGCTTTAAGATGTGTGGACTTCAACTCTCAGAATTCCTCAGCCAACATGCTGGGGAGATATAAACGATATATAAACCAATATATTAGGAGCAGAAGGGAGCCCTTGAAAAGGAACCCTGTGCTGACGAGGTGAACGTTGTCCTAAAACTGAGAGCCTTTGTTAAGGAGGACCAACCAAGAAGAGAAACCATCTTTTTGGAAGCTTCAGGACATTGCAGAAGAATTCCAAGCTATGTTTTGGATGAAAGCAGACGAGGCACCTTCTGTGGATGGCAGAAGCAAAGGGAACCACTTACCGTACCCTGTTGTGGGCAAGCCCAGGTGTTTCATGCGATTCTTCACAAGCTCAGACAGCTCCTGCCTTTCCGATCGCCGGTAGAGGTTCAGTCTCTGCTGGTTGATCCATTCGGCTGTTTTTGCTGTCTGCTTGTTGGCTCCTTTTCGGCTCAGACGTCGAGCCCACTGCATGCTTTTCCTCCGGAGAAGCGGGTGCTCCGTTTGGTCCGCGGGACACGAATTCCGGTGATGGTGGTGTGGTTTGGCATTCCAGGGCTCCTTCCCTTCCTTGATGTCTTCGCAGTCTTCCACATTGATTGAAATCTGTGACTGGGAACACCAGTAGGCCATGAGAAGAAAGTCATCAACAACTTTGGGATGATTCCCGGGAGAAGCCGGTCTGATTCCATGGAATCGTAGGGTATAGAAAAAGCAGTTTAATCTGCCCTAACAAAAAGGAAACTTTCTAGAAGGGGGATCATTGGTTAGCAATTAAATCCATGCTCTGTAGGTCAACCAAAGGACTCAGGTCGAATCAGTGAGAATTCACCTGGATTCAAACAACATGCTAGACGAGGCTAAAATGGCACCGGGTAGGTAGCGATTCAACATGTTTTGGTGAGCCTGGCTGTTGCCTCATTATCTTGGATGAACCAGGTCATCACATTAAGCCAAAATGTGGTTTCTAGATTGGAGCACAGCATGTTATCTGAACACAGCACATGCCCAGGTTTAGGGTTACGCATGTTGTGTGAACCTGTCCCTGAGCTCCCTCCATCCCGATTTTCTTTTGGCTTGGAGAAGCCAAATCTTGCATTTACATCTAACCATTGAAAAGAAGTGCATATCTGGTGACTCAAACCATACTCACCTGTGTTCTGATATCATGAGGCTGGGGTGGGGGGTTGGAGGGGAAGGGAGGATAGAGAAAAAAAGAGAAAGGAAAAAAAAGAAAAACTTGACAAATGATCTTTAAAACAATGCAGACAACCTTCTTTCTTTTTCTTTTTCCCTTTTGCTGAATGCTAGATTGGCAAGAGTGTTTGCTGAGTTGGTTGAGACAGACACACTTTCATTTTACTGCTATAGCATTCTCTAAAATGTACAGCAGGCTGAAAATAGAAAGGCATGGATGCCTCTTCTGTTGTGGACCTCACACCGGGATCCGGCTTGAGGATCACTAAGGGAGCTTTCAACACTCTGGTTCTAGAATGTGGCAATGGATCACAAGCCCTGCCTGCTTGCTGAGGATACTTTGGGATGCAAAGAGATCCTGTCCGAAAGAGCTCTACTTTGTCAGCTTCTTACATCAGTGGTGGAAAACATGTGGGATTCAGTTCTGTAAATGCCAATGGGAATCTCCGCGCTGGAAGAACACAGCTTCTGAAAGAGACGTCCGTAGGATCGGATCCAGAGGTCGTCTTCTGTGATTTTCATCTGTGCAGTAAAGCAATGAAAGAACATAAAGGAGAAGAAAAGAAAAAAAAAGGAGAAGGCATGATAAATAGTAGGTTTTAGGCCAAATCATGCCACCCTCCATATTCAGAGGCAGACTACTCCTGCAAGTTAGATTGCTGGGGATGAGGCCTAAGAGAAGGTATCTAGGACTCTTCCCACTAGCAATGCCCCCAGTGAGTAGATCCAAGACTCCTCAAGATGGGGCAAATCCATTATCCCCCCATTTTAGAGATACTTGGAGACAGAGGAACTCTTGCCTGAATCAGGCAAGAGGAAAATCAAATCATAGACCATATTGGTGCCATGGAAATGCACCAAGCATCAACACCACACTTACTGCACAGAGATAACCAGACCCAGGAGTTGTGTCCAGACCGAGTAATAATCTTGTGATGGTGATCATATAATCTTTCACAAAGGACTAAAAAGAAGAAAGACACCCATCAATCTTTTTGGAGGGACGGAGGCTAGTGCTACAATGTTGGCAGGTTAGATTCAAGTCAATATTTGAACGGGTTCAGTGATGATGATTAAAAAGCTTCCCTTCCCACCCGCAACCCAAGAAGCCCATATTTCACAGTTTGGAAACAGAACTAAAATAAAATGCAGACATATTGATTTCATTTTGGCCCCAGGGCAATTCCACAGGGCAAATCCTTCTTCAAAATCATTTAAGTTTGAGGTCTCCCTATCTCAAGACCCTTTGTCCTCCATCACCAACTCCATGTCCTCCATGGAATGGCTTGCAAAGTGGAACAGAAGATACTAGAGTCCCTGTGAAGGATCTGAGAAGTTTTGCTTTGAAAAGAAGGGTTTAAAAAGGATATTCAACTTGTTCCTTTCTCTGACCTGGTAAAGGAGCGTATCTAACATGCTGATGCTGAAAACCCGGCCAGCGGCAAACGGGAGGCGGAACATGAAAGCCAAGTTGGAGCCATTCTCTCGCTCTTTCTGTGCAGGAGACATTATAGGCAGGATAAAAATAGCTGTTTTTCAGATCAGGCCAGTATTCCTGTCTCCAACAAGAGTTGGATCAATAAATCTAGGAAGCTCATAAGCACAGGCTGAAGACCATGACTATCCCTGTTTATTTGGAACTTGGAAGGAGATAGCCTCTGAATGTAGGCTGTTCATATAGCTCTCACTGTAGTAAGGTGTCCCTATAACAGACACTGATTTACTTTATGAATTAGTTTAATCCATTTTTAAAAAATCTATGTCCCCTTTCTCATCTGAAAGGGTGTCCCAAGAATTTTTGGACCTTTAAGAATTTGGGCACTTTTTTCCTTCTCAATGATTTTCCCTTTAGTGTCATGACTGCAGCAGGTTAAACCTCATTGTAAAATTTCATTCTTTAAAAGGGAGGGTCAGAGCAAAACGTTGCAGGATGCGTGAAGCTCAGAATCCAGGACTATTTTCACAAATATGAGCTTCTTTGAAAGGGGATAGGAAACGACAAAAAAATCAGCCAACTGGACAACTTTCACCCCAAATGCTTGGTGTGGCTTCAAATTACAGGCCTGGAGTTACAGATTTGTATTGTTTCGTTACCTTCTCCAGTTTGGAAAGGGCCAATGAGTAGCTGTCCTTTGCCCGGAATTGCATAAACCTCATATTTGATGGATGGGTCAATTCAGTAATGATACTCAGACTTGGAAAAAGCCTGGGAGAGGGGGAAAAAATTTAAAAAGTGATAGCGAGCCTTTTGCAAAGATCAGAAAAGCATGTTCAGTCAAACCCAGGACCTTCTTTGGTCCTCAGCAGAAACTGGCCAGGTGTTTTAGGGAGAAGTATATAAAATGGCAAGTCTATGACCTGATCCCCAGCAATTCTGGGCTGCTTTTTGAATATAGAGGATCAGTGTGCCCATTGTTGGTTAGCAAAGGAATGATTTTTGCATGCTGTAAGCACGTTCTCCCTCACCTGAACATGGTCTGGACGTTGACGATAGTCTTGGCATCTGCCATGTAATCTTCCTCTGCACTCATGGTGCTTTCTTTATCTACTACCACCAAATTGTCAGCGTAAATAATGCCGCACTGCAGCAAGCTATCAAGGCTGGAAGAGAGAGGGAACCTTTAAGATCACATTCTTCGACACATCTAGGCTGAGTTAAGACTCCAGGAAATAATGCTCTGATTCATTTTCTGATCATTTTCTATTCCTCAATCCAAGACCCACAGATTCAGATGCACAATGTTCCTATCAAGTGACCAACTCTTTTCAGCAGTTCCAAATAAAACCAGGAACATGGGACAACCATTTTGATTCAAGCTCATTCTTGGCCTTCTGTTTCTTTCTCAGCTCACAGTCTGGGTTTAGCTAAGCTGTGACCTAATCGCTTCCCACTAATAAAGCTTAATTGTGGCTCAGCAGAGGTGAGTCCACTTCCTCTGAGGAATTTTAGATATTGACCCCAGAGAGAATTGTAGGCTGTATGAACATGGCCATAACTGCATTGAATTCCTTGTAAATTGGATTTTTAAATTTGTTTTGCAGTTTATTGCATAGGGGGGTGTTTAACTTTAAGATCTAAGGAAAAAGAGGAGAAAGTGTATACGGAAGAAGGGAATGGGAAGAAGGGAAAGAAGGAAATAAACAATACAACAGAAAATCAACAGTAAAAAACAACTTCTAAATTCTTATCCTTCATGGCATAAGGAAGTTAGATTTTAGCATTCTGGGACACAGAAGATGACACTTACTTATCGATTGTACCTTCCATGTAATAAACCATTGGGAAACAACAGATGGCTTCCAAGAAGTGATGGTCTGGTCTAAAAAGAGGGAGAGAAAAAAAAAATCAGGTTCAGTTCCACTGACATTCCTATTTCTTTCTAAATGTGCCTGTTTCTGACTGTTAAGCAATTGGAGCAGAGATTTATCTTGTCTGGTTTTGCAAAACCAAGTCCATTCCTCATCATTTAAAAACAGATATGTTTATACATCACTGCTTTATTCCTTACAGGTGAACCTCAAGAATTAATTCCCATTCACTGTATCGAAGGCGCACAATATTCTCAACCAAAACAGGAGCCCCCAATGAAGACAGTTCATGGCATGCACTGATTATGACTGAGATCCTTTGAACACAAATATCAGAGGTTTCATAGGGGCAGGAGGCTAGGCAGAACAGCTTCCAATCATGTCTTCAGCTACTGAACACAAGGTTAGGGTAAGGAGGGAAAGAAAGGATCAAAAGGGCCCAAATTCTTTGCACAATTCATTTGATGCAATTCCAGCGTCATCAGCCGCAGTCTCTCTGAGCCAGAAGACTTTTGAGTTCCCTAAGCTTTCTAATTATGACTCAGACCTGATCAATTGCAGATTCCCTCTTGCTGGCATTCTTGTTCTCTACTATAAATGTTGCCTGTGTGTTTATATCTGGAACAGTGACCCAGCATATTGCACATTCAAGAGAAATCATCTGGAAAAAAAGAAGAAGAACTTGCTTGTTGTCCAGCAACAGCACGATGGGATTCAACTCCTTCCGTGACCGATAATACGCCCGGAGAGGGACAATAAAATTATACAAGCCGTTGCCCGCAGTCTCAGCAGACACAATGATCAACTTGTTCTTAAAGCCATAGGCCTTGGCATCTTCGTAACTATTGTGCTTGCAGCCCTGGAAACACACCACCACAAGAGTTATTGTTATTAGGAAGTTGAGAATTGACTGGGGTTTACAGTCAGCCTTCACTACAAGGCTTGCAGGATAATGGATGTTAATTTAGCAAATGACATAGCTCCAGTCAAGAACCTGTTCAGAAATGGCACACAGCCTTTTACCTTGTCCAGACGCAAGCAACAGAAAGGTGCCTTGATGGGCAAAAGGTGGCAGAGGGTAGGAGAACTTCCAATATAAGGTGAGTTGGGAGGGTACCCTTTCACATACCTTAAAAAAAAAGATTAAAATTTGAGCTATCTTTTTCTTCTTGCAAGGTGTTCTACTGATGTTCGGTAGAACCTGAGAAATGCAGAAGGACTTCTTGCTCAACTGGACTTCACAAATCCTGATCAAGTCGTGCCCCCCAACCCTTTAATAGAACTCCAATTTACAGCGTGCAGACCAAATCTGAAATAATTAGAAAGGAGAAGGGGGCCACATTTTAGCTGAGCCCTGGCTTCATTTTAAGGATCTTGAAGGAAAGAGTCAAACAGTTCCACCTTTTCCCACCAGATGGTACAGCTGTTCCATCTTAGCCGAATAAATTCTTGTTTGCCTCCCCTCCCTTTTTTGACAGCTTCTGGTGGGAGCTAGGAAAAAATAGACCATTAAGGGGAGGTTAATGTATGCAAATAGGCTCTTACTAGGGAGTAAATAATAGGAAATTTGCATGGCTGCACTTGCGTGGAACTGAATGCTGGAGTCATACTGGGTCTCTTTTAATACTCAGAGCACAATCTTGGCAGAGACTGCACACCCCACTGCACATCAAAACGTATTTTGGAAGCAGCATGGGGGGTTTGACCAGTGCAGAGTTGAGTCAGTGATTCTCAAGAATTTGACAATGCCTCTTCTCAGGTGAGCAACGCTGGCATGGCGACACTGAGAGCCCAATCATCTTATTTTATGACCACTTGTTATATCTGAAGTCTACCAAAGGTCCAAAGATTGAGATGGCAATCAGCCCATTCATACAAAGAAAGTGGGGGGCAGAGGGGGCTTATATCACAAAATGGTCCCTTCAGTTGGTATGTTCCTTATGAGAAAAGCCCCGTCACCAAAACTTCAGCGTACTTGAATGCTAAGTATCAAGGGAGTGTGTGTGTATGTGTGTATCTGTGCCTGGGCTCCCTATTGTGGGGGCGGGGGCGGTCAAAAGAACTTACTCTGTAATGGTCAAGCCATCATCATCTGACTGAGTCACCTCATCCTCAGACTGGTCGCTGAGCATGTCGCATGGTAAAAGAGAGGAAGTGTCGGCCACCTCCAGAACGGGGGCAATGCTGGGCCTCCTTTTCCCAGACCCGTTCTCAGCTGGCAACGTCAACTTGGAGGTGTGGACGGGGCGGCATTCTGTGTTCTGCAGGTCCATGGCCACAGTGCCTGAATCGAAGGAGAGGAGGCATCAGCGGTGCCTGGGGCTGCCCGTCTGAAGCTCTGGTAGACCCTGCTGGTCTACAGGCAGAAGCCCATGCAGAATCGGACACATCTTCCAAAGAGCTATGTATCTATTCTCAGAATCCCAGAAGGCTCTTCATTTTTTCCCCCCAAACACGAGACTGACAGAGACTGTTTAGCAAGATTTAGTCAGACGACGGGAAGAATGACAAGAATGTCAGCAACTGAACTAGTTCCCACTTGCAACTATACATCCCCAGTACACTCATTTATTTATTTAAAAGACACACATGGCCACCCATCTTATAAAACACAACTCCGGGCGGCTCACAAAAGTAGTAAAATCAAAAATAAGAAAAAGCAAGAAAACCAGGGGCCTTCCCACCATCTCCAATCCATCAATCTGTACAATCCCCAGGGTCCAGCCTTACCCCATCCCAATGTCTGGGGGGAAAGCCAGCCCTTTATGGGTTTCCAGAAGGCTAAAATGGGTGGGGGCTCACGGGGAAGTATATTCCACAGGGCAGGGCCTGCTACAGAAAAGACACATTAGGGGATGGTCTTCCCATTTTTATTTTTACTGACTTTTTGGCAGTTCTTATCACTGATAATGAAGGAACTTGCAAGTGGCTGTTTATAAAATCATCCCTTGACTTTTGATCACTCTGGAAACTGAGTAAAAAATGATGCCAGAACAAAATTATTCATAGCACTGAGCAATACAATTAAAGTGCTTTTTTTCAAGCTGATAAAACCCTGCCAACTATATTATCCTACACTCCTTGAATTACCAGCTGGGTAATGAAAAAAGAAAAAGTAGGGGGGAAAAAAAACCCCAGTAGAATTTATTTTCACTCAGCTTAAATAGCTAGCAAATAAATAGCTAAAACTATGTTAGAGGCTGGGACCCTTGATATACCAGGAACTTCAGGAAGCTAGGCTAGGACCTTTGATAGGCTAGTATAAGCTGATAGGCTGGCATTTTGCCTAAGAAGTGGTGAGAGATTAAGATACAGCCCTAAAACTAAAAATTTAAAAATTGAAATCCCCTCCCCTCCTTTGTAGGAAATAGATGATGGAGTTAAACTTAGAACAATTTTGCAATGAACCACTGGAAAAAGTTGAGAGCAACTCACCCATGCTAGCAATGATGCTATGGACTGGCAATCTTGATGGCCCATCATAGATCCCTTTGCCTAAAAAGAGTTTCTGTTTCTGCTTCTCTTCCTGCTTGAATATGAAGGCAGAGTTCTCCTCCTTGGTGATGTTGATGTAGAAGCATGTGTCCGATGCAGTCATGATGTGACGCGGTCCTGGGTTGAGGAGGATGCTTTTATTCTCCTCCCTTCTCACACCCATCAAGCAAACACCATATCTGAAAGGACCAAGGATCAAGATAAAACCAGTTGCCATGACTTAATGCTCAGCCTCAGTGTTGATGCTGGTAGGTGGGTGGGAAGAGAGCAAGCAGAATTCATGTGACAGATCTGTTTAAATTTATCTCCTGTATTTCCACTAAATGATGCTCATTGTGTCTAAAATCTGGTCTCAGAGAATGCAGGGCGGGGGAAATAACTCTACTCAGTTATGTCACACTTGGGATGAATCAGCCTGATTCCCATTTGCAGAACCTGAAGTCCAAAGGGAATTAAAATCAGGCAGGGTTTCCAGTCAGATAGAGGAGGAGGAGGCATGGCTGGATTGTGAATTGTGAAGGATGGGATAATGGGGACTGGCAATGCTAAGTGTGGAACTTCCTCACTCTGTCTCCCTGCATCCCTTTTTGTGGCAGGTCAAGCAAACGGTTAGAATAACATTCCCAACATTTCACTATTGATCTATGGTTAGCAATAAATGCAAAAGAATGGTTAGTAATAATAGCACATTAAAATAATTGAAGATTCTGGTTTGCGTAGATCCTGACACAAAAGGAACATTGGAAGAAGGTTCTGGTCTCTATTCCCCGTGGGAATTTTTAGCATCCCAAAAGGCTTTGGGTGGGCATTGCAAAAGAGAAGACATGAAAGGCTTTTCCGACCCTTCCTATTCCTTTTGGATCTACTCCTTGACACCCCCTCCCTGATCCAAGCAAGAAATCTGGCTTTTCTGCTTACTTTTTGTGAGCGTGGAAGGACGCGTAGGTAAAGCTCTTTCCCTCATACTCCATGAAAAACTTGCTGTCACCCATGCGGATGTGGTAAACCTCATTGCCCGAGCAGCGCCCATACATCCTTTGCCACTGCTCTGGTGACTCCTGGCCTTCCCTGGAAGTAGATTCAAATCAACCAAACCATTGAGGAGCCTGATGTATTCCAATTCAGAGTGTGGGATGTGCCCCATGCGTTATCCCTTTTTCAACTCATCGAGTACCCTGGAAGAATGTGTTGTGGAAAACAGAAAGGCATGACCACCAGGGACAGAGTCTCTGGGGAGAAGTGGCAATTGTCCTGGGCCTCACGCGTGAAAGAAAGCCCATCAAACGGAGGTTCTGTACTTCTAAGGAGCAGGTGGATCGATACTTTGCCTTCCGGTGCAATAAAACTGACCAATTTCCCATGCATTCCCATTTTGGGGCCATCAACTTCAATGGACCCCCAAAGCAATGGAGAATGACACTGTGTTGAGATGCAGAGAAAAGAAAGGTGTATGTGAAAAACACCATCACATCTGCTTCCAAGCCTTAAAAAGGCCTGCTTCAGTCCAGGGCACTGCAGCTGAAATAAAATACTACAGAGATGATTTTTATAATGGATAATAAGAAAAGGCATGGATTAGCAAACCAAGCAAAATCACGTCAGGTCACTATCAATGGCAGATGGCAAGCGGCTCCTGCTTTGTGCAGTCTGAGTGAATTTTTCAATGTAAGGAAATGAGCTATCCAACTGCTAGTGCTGAAATGAAAAATCAAGAAACAACCCGGTCCATTTCAATGGAAACTGGGAGTGGGACCCATTAGCCTCAGGTAGAAAAAAGCCTGCCTCATGATGGATAGAAAAACATGACCTCTGAGATCAAATCCTGATCTGGAGGCTTTTCTGGACGAGCTGCCCAAAGCCAAAGTCAAGCGACACCACAAATTCCAGCTGACCATTCCTTTACTTGGGTTGCTTCTCAGTCCAGTCAACTGAGGTTCCAAAATGGGGGGAAGAAGTTGGTCACGATGCTATTGTTCATGGTGAGCAATGATGAGATTAGTGTTTTATGGAAGTAGGGGTCATGCATTGGTTCTTCATACCACCAAGGAAGATAGCAACTTCACCTAACGCTCACAAACTGCAGAAGGAGGACATATCCTTTAGAAAATACCCCTTTTATTCCAAGTGTGTGTCCCCATGGGGGGGAAAAACAGCTTTCCCCACATCTGGATTGAAAATGCAGCAAGGAAGGACTTCTTGCAGTCCAGCAATTCTTCATTTCAATGAAGAATTTAGTCTTTCTTTCATGGAGGAATGCCATTCAGGGACAATTCGCTTGCTTTGTACTTTCCAGGGTGGGTTTCAAAAAGCAAGGACTGAAAAACCAAGATCCTAAAGCCCTTTGTCTCAAGCTGGTGTCTCCTTCCAGAAGACTTAAGATGACATCTTCCAGAATTCACAGCATGCTGCCGTTCATACCCTCAATATGAGGTCAATTTGGGACTTAGCATTAGGAATGAATTTTATTTTGCAGAGGTTTATTAACTTCCTTTATTATCTTGTTAACTGATCACTTATTCATAACTTCTTATTTTCTGAAGAGACAAGGACTAACATGCTTAAACTTTGGGTATCCAGTTAGTCCACATTTTGATGGCTACTTTTTCTTAAATAGTAAAACAGCTTCTTTAACATGGATGTGTCAGATGTTGCCCCCAGCTAGAAACTGCCTGGCAGTTCACAATTTTTGACTACTTACTGCCCTCTGGAAGTGTGGACAAGAAGGGTGATAAGTGTGGAGGTAGCTGGGCAGACACAGTTCAATGCCAGCATGGCGTATTTGCACTCCTCTTCGCACACCACGTGATCTGAAATCAAAGCAGGTCCTTTTTTATTCCTGAAGCATCATTCCAAATTTCCAGCAAAACATTTGGATCCCTTTGATACATTTGCTTTGTGATTACTTTTTAAAAAATGCCTCTGCTGCTATGAATTTCTAAGGTGTGACATTTTGAAGGGTGTGAACTTTGACATTCTGCTTTGTTATGTCTTCATAAACCATACTATGTTTCTATAATAAGCAGCAGTGGATAAATTAAAGAAATGCATCTTGCCATCACGCTAAGAACAGCTTAAGAATATGAAGTCATTACCTTCCTAATACAGCCTATACCTCTTCCAATTTCTTCCCCAATGGTATAAAGTCAGAACTCCCAATTCAAGGACCCTTTCCTGTCTATGTCCCTCTCCCCCCAAAAACTTCTTGTACCTATCAATTTGCCACTCCACGCAGTACATCAAATAGTCTGGAATGATTTCAAGCAAAATCTCAGATAACTTGTTTCCTGGAACTTCAGATATTTGGTTAAACTGTAAAGTCTGATTTTTATTAGTTTTATCTTAATTATGTTGGGGGATACCCTAACCAAAAACAGTGCAAAGGGACATCTTTCTTGATTCTGAGAGCTGAAAACAGATCCATCGCACATTAAAGATTTTATGTAACTTTAAAATATATGGTTAGAGAAGAGCAGGAATGACAGATGCCAAACAGAGAAACCAAATCCATGAGCTTGTAAGCAATGTGATGTGTGCAGATGAAACTGTGTAAAGCCAATAAATGTTCCAGGAAAGTCAGCTAGTTGCATCTGAGACAATGAACTCCACTTGTCTGTTTGCAGATGCCAAATCATTGTGTTTTGTTTTTATATCCCAGTTGCTAATTTGCTGGCTGGTGTTGATTAGAAAAGGAGGAAAAACACCTCATATACCACCCATGTTTTCAGCTGATGACATTTTTAGGAAAGAAAAACCCTTGCCAATAATGGGAAAAGGTGAAAGGCTCCTCTGGAGCTGGGTTTTCCCATCTAACAACCAACAGACAGATGGGAGGAAAAGTCCTACCTGCAAACTTGACGTGAAATTTATTCTCCGGTTTCAAAATCTGAACGTAGAGGGGACAGTTAGGAGCAAAATCTTTCACTGCCCAAGCTCTTAGGATCGTTTGATGATCCTACAGAAGAATGATCACAAATATCCTACTTAGAAATGGTCCCTGACAGTTTTCACATTCTAAGCAGGAGTGTTTGCAAGAGAAAAAGGACTTTTTAAACATTTCCAAGGGAATTATTGTGTCCCCATTAGCTAACCTATTAATTCCTATGGCACAAATATAATACAACACATTGCATGAATATTCTTTGCACAATATCTTATTTCTATACTACCCACTGACAAAAATTATTCTCAAGATCATTTAAAATGATCCATTGGAAGAGTTGAACCATGTTCAAATGAGGCAATACGTTAGTATAAAAGACAAACCCCACACAGACAGCCTTGATGAGATTGTATTTTCAATTACATTAAGACCCTTTTCTTGAAGTGTTTCATCAAGAAATCTTCCAGGCACTGGTCAGATTGAGCAGCCTCACCTGAGATCTTGCATGGCCTCATCTGAGAATTTCCTTCAGAGTTATAATTTTTGGAGTTTCACAAACGTTGCTTGAGATGGGGGAGGAAGGGGGGGGGGGGAAGGCCCTTTTATCACTTCCTTGGCATAGTCATTTTGTCAGCCAAGGGATTAATCCTGTAACTTACTGCAGCTGTGCGGTCCACTTCATTTCGACTGCTCAAAATAAAACAAGCTTCTCCATTGTCCATCCTGCAAACATAATGTATTCTATTAGCCTAGTCTGGTGGGAAGTTTAATTAGAAATACAAACACTGGGAAAGGAGAAACCATAGTTAATAGACCAACAAAACTCATATCTCTTTTTCCCTTCAAACCCATCACCCCAAATCCATATTTCTCACAGACCTTTTTGGCTCAATCCAGTCTTCCTTGTGACCGTGACTGAGCCCCCATACCTGTAAATGACTCCTGGATACTATATTTACCCTTGTCTCTTATCTCCTTCCTTCTGATATTTATTCATTTTTATTTAACTGATTAATTAATTTATTAAGCTTATATAGTTGCCCATCTACCAAAAGGAACTCTGGGTGGCAGACAGAATAATCAAATTGGTTTCCCCATATTGTCTATTTTGAATTGTGACTTGTGATCAAGGGGCCAATCTATAGTTGGAATGGCAAGATGAAATTCACTCTCCACCTTTCAGAAGGTCTGGACAATGACTACAGCTCCCCAAATCAATGGCCATTGGTTTTTATTAGTTGAGTTTAATGAAAACTGAAGGTCAACTTTAACTGAAGGATGCTAGTTTGTTCGTGTTTGCTCTGCTCTATCTGGGGACAGCTGGCCAGGCAAGACTGGCTGTACTCTTAGAGGCAGCTGTCTCAGGTGGCAGATGCTAAGAGGTGGCAAGCAATGGTGAAATGGAAGAGAGGGCTGTATACGTGTTGAAAGTAAAATTCAACTGTCGATCCAGTTGCCTTTGGTCCAGCAAAAGGAAGATCCTATCTAGTTGCTCAGACAGGAATCTTCCCCAGCTGCTCTTAGGTTTTGCAGAGGATTGAATATCAGACCCTCCGCCATGAGGTTCCTCCCCTCTCAAGGATAACAGAGAAAAGAAATATTATTAATGGACTGTTTCTGCTTTCTCTCTCACAAAAGCAAGCCCAGTGAAAGAAGACAACTTTTTTCAACTAGAATCTGCTTTCCCCTTTCCAACTCACTTTGCTCTCATGAGATCCTGATCTTTCAGGGCAGATCCCTGGAGGTAGATCACCCGCTGGGACCACAAGGGAATCTGAAGCACTCGGCGTACCTGAATATCCATTTCTGTAGGGCAAAGGATGACCACATAATAATCCTGAAAGGGAAAAGCGGAATCCTTCAAGTGGCTTAAAATGTTCAGGTTTCTCTTAAGATCTACAAACTAGAGAGGTATGAAGAAAAATTAAAATGTTTTGTACCAACAGACCCATTTCAGCCCCACAGAAGAATGAAAAACATACACCTTCCAGAACTTTTTTCAGGCTTAGAACTACTATGAAAAACCCTAACATCAACAAGTAAGAAGTGTGCCAGTTTGTGCAAAAAAGGAAGGAAGGAAGGAAGGAAGGAAGGAAGGAAGGAAGGAAGGAAGGAAGGAAGGAAGGAAGATCATGGACTTTCTTATGAAAAATATAACATGCAAAAGCTGTGCAAACTAAGAAAATGTGCATTCCAAAATGTGCCCATTTTGGGATAACATATATGAAAAGGAATAGAAACATTTTTGCAAACTGATTTCTTCCAGCCCAGGCATGACTGGGATAGGAGTGAACTTTTTCCTAGCATCCCATCTCTTGCAAGCTACATTTATTATATATGGTCTGAGTTTCATTCCAAAATAGAAAGGGGTATGGATTGGAAAGCCTGAAGGATGTATGTAATTAAGTATGTATGTATGTATGTATGTATGTATGTATTTATTTATTTATTTATTTATTTATTTAT